GGGTGTGTGTGTGGGGGGTGAGAGGATTCACCAGAGACAGAGTGGGGAACAGAATAGGCAGATTGACTGAAATACACCGCTGAAGTGAGCAACGGGCGAGCCAGGAGAGGTCTGCTGCGCCATGTGGGTAGCTCCCTGACCGACCAGGGATTGAACTGGTGCTACAGTGGCTTATGCATACATCTGCCTGTTCTGTCCCTATCCATCTGTTCTGCTTCCCACTCTGTCTCTGGTGAGAGATTTTGTCTATTTATCTATTTGTCCAATCCAAGTATAGCTACCCTAGCTATCTAGCTATCTTTGGATTTTACTATATATTTACCAGTGAGATTTATGCTTTTAATTTTTTTCCCTGTTTCTAATTAGTACCATTTCAGCTTAAAGAAGTCCCTTTAACATTTCTTTTAAGATCATTTTAGTGGTAATGAGCTCCTTTAGCTTTTGCTTGTATGGAAGAATCTTGAGATCGTCAATTCTGAATGATAACCTCCCCAGGTTAGTTTTGGTTGGAATTTCAGCACTAATTATCATTCTGCTTCCTCTGTCCTACAGAGTTGTTAGTGAAAATGCTGCTGATAGTCTTATGGTTGGGGGGAGGGGATTCCCATGTACATAACAAGTTTTTTTTCACTTCTGCTTTTAATATTCTCTACTTTCCTTTAACTTTTGACATTTTAATTGTGTCTTAGTGTTGACCTTTTTAATTATTTTCTTTTCCCATCCCTGCCCCCAGCATTGAACTTTTTAAGTTCATCTTATTCGAAACTCCAGGTTTCCTGGATCTAAATGTCTATTTCTTTCAGGTTAGGGTTTTTGTCCATTGTTTCTTCAAATAACCTCTCGGGCCCTTTCTCTCTTCCTTTTTTCTGGCACATCCCTAATGGAAATGTTAGTCTGTTTGATGTTATCCCTAAGCTGTCTTCACTGTTTTTTCATTTCCTACTTTTATTGGGTGAGTTACATTGCCCTGTCCTTAAATTCACTGCTCTCTTCTTCTGCTTCATCTAGCCTGCTGTTGAACCCTTTATTGTATTTTTCAGTACAGTTATTCTTCAGCTTTTTTTTAAAGGTTTATTTATGATACAAGAGCTGGGGTGTAGGGCAGAGATGCGGGGTGGTGAGAGGATTCACCAGAGACAGAGTGGGGAGCAGAACAGGTGGAGCTACTGAAATACACTGCTAAGGGGAGCTATGGGCAAGACAGGAAAGGTCTGCTGCTCCATGTGGGTTGCTCCCTGGCTGGCCTGGGATCTAACTCACTTGTGCTGCAGTGGCTAGCAATAGCTTGATAGTGCTGTGTTTTTAATCCCTGTGCCACCAAGGAGGCCCTGTGTTATTTTTAATAGTTCTCAGTAGTGAAGGTTTGCTACCAGTGCCTGTCAGTGTCCCAAAGGGGAGGCTCTCAGTCTGTACCTAGATTTAGGCTAATGGAAGCCAGACCCTCAGGGAGTCTTCCAGCTCATATATACACAGTTCTATGGGACTGCTAAGCCCCCCTGATCAGAGCTGAAGATGTCCCCTTAAGAGCAGTTGAAAAAAATCAGGACTCTAGATAAGTATATAATTTCCTTACTAGGAGATACCAGTGAGCAGTAGAAAGGCAGAGAGAGAGAGAGTAAATAGAAAGTATACTCCCTTTTCTCTCAGCCCACCTCTCACCACTTTCACAGAATGACTTGGGGTATGTTTCAGTCAGATATCTGTGTAGTGCCCTGGGAGTGATAGCCTGCCAAGACATGTCTCTCAGATTGTTACAGATCCATGCGGCCCAGGAACCCAAAGTCACCCCCCTAGCCACCAGTCAGGTAAGTGGTATTGCCTGTGCAGAAGCCACAAATACCAGAATACCAGATTTTGTAAGGCCTCCCTTCTGAGAGACAGTGATGTTTTGGTGGTAGAATTGTTGCGGGGAAAGGATGTCCTGAACAAACTCCACAAATTGGTTTTATGGACCCCACATCCACCCCAAACCAAAGACATCCAAGACACCAAGGACTACAAATCCCATAATGTCATCACCACCACAGGGAGGATTGCTGGGAACTAAGGGTGGAGTTAAGCAGCCAGGTTTGGTATAGAAGCAGGCATGTGGGTCTTGGGGGGTCCTTGGCTTTTTGCAGGCTTTCAGTGTTCTATTGGGGTTCCAGATCAGCGGAACTGGTAGGATGCATTCACCAATTTATCTTTCTCTATCCCTGAGTTATTCATTTCTTCATTTCCCTTTTTTTGTTAATAAACCATTTATTACCCTTTTTGTGTATATCTGCAGTAGAGTCTCATTGTAAGTCCCTTTTAAGCACAGTCAGGCCAACCCACTTCACACTGGGGTGCCTTGTAACAGTTAGGTAATGTAAAGCTCATACCCACCAGCCACTACACCTGGAGGGTATCTCAGCAGGCTTCTGCCACCCAGGCTAGTACTTTAATATTAGCAGACAAGCTTGTCTCACATAAAATCTAGGCATTTTTCAAATGGCTGCTTCTGCCCTGGACTCTGGACATTTCCCTGTTCCCTATAGCCTTGTGGGTCTCGTGGACACATGTCCTGCTGTTTTGGGAGGCTCATCTCTCAGGTGTAGGTCTTAAAATTTGGGATTCCCTATATGAAGTATAAACTTTTGCATGCTCTGAGTTTTAAGTTCCCTCCCAATTGGGGGTCACCAAGATTTATTGCATTATCTGCCTATCCTACCCATTTGGATGTATTTTCCTTCTCATTTTCTCAGTGTGCAGAAGTCTATCAAGTTTTTAGGTTTTCTTCTTTTTGCCATAGTAGATTGTTCCATATAGATTCAGTGTGTCTATGGAGCAGGTAAGCTCAGGATCTTCCTATGTCACCATCTTGAACCTACTTCTAAAATTAAACTGTTGATTCTTTCCCTTCACAACATCAAATTTTGTCAGTCTTTCTAATTTAATAAATGATATCTCTATCTACTTGGTTGGCAACACCAGGAATTGAGGAATCATCCTTGAGTTTCAGCTCCTTTCTATCTTGAGTCTCACTTGTTCTGTCCTAGCTTATCTCATTCCACAATACACAGTCATATATCATACTATCAACTTCCATTTCTCACTGGCCTGTTCTCTGACTATACCCCAGGTCAAATTACTAAAAGATTCTGATTGAGTCAAGTTTGTATCTACTGTTTTTTTTGATGTCCCAAAAGAAAAGGCAACCCATCTTGTTGATTTTATTGACTCATCAGCTTTCAGCATTCCTCTCTTGTGGAACTGATAACAGAAGCATTTTGCAAACTTTTCCAAAGCCTCATTATTGAGTTAAAATGATAAAGACATGCACTGCTAGAAGTAGAAAGGATAAAATTCCAGAATATTTATTTTTTTAAAGATTTATTTATTTATGCATACAAGAACTGGGGTACAGGCCAGAGGTGTGGGGGGTGAGAGGACTCACCAGAGACAGAGTGGGAAACAGATCAGGCAGATTGACTGAAATACACTGCTGAGGGGAGCAGCAGGCGAGACAGGAGAGGTCTGCCTGCGCCATGTGGGTAGCTCCCTGGCCGGGGATTGAACTCCTGCTGCAGAGGCTGCGGATAACTTCATAGGTTGCATCTTAACCCCTTGCGCCACCAGGGAGGCCCTGAAGACATAATTGTTAATCAAACCTAGTGGTAACATCTGGACCATAGTGGGTAAAAATACGCCCAGTCTATAGCCTCCAAACCTCCACTGCTCCCTTTGCAGACCCTATGGCACAGGGAGCCTAGATTTGGTGTCTTAGTGTTTAGGCATGCTGGGTGTTTAGGGGTCAGTTGTCTTACTCCCTGCCCTCATGGAGGCTGCCACCTGCTCTTCTCTTCTAAAACCTCCAGCCTTTGTGGGCCAGTATTCACCACTCAGCATTGTCTCTCTCCTCAGCTGGTCTCTTCACTTGCTCTCATGATTTCAACTGTCTTTCCAGAGTGAACTTTTCCCAGCCTAATTACTGCCCTTTAGGGCCGTAGAAGTCCATCTGAGCACATCCTACATTTCTGGCCCTGTCCTTCTTTCCAGCCTCATGGCCCATAAACCATTCACCCTCAACTACACCCCAGTCTCTCATGAATGTGTCTTGGAACATACTAGTTTTTCCTCTTAGGCTCAGCATCATCTTCTCTGGAAAGCCTTCCCTGATTGTATCAAGCTGCCTAAACCAACACTCTGCTTCTCCAGCCCCATCTGCCCCATGGGACAATATTTTGGAGAGAATATCAGTGTCTTGTTCATCTCAGCATCTCTCGTACTTGATACTTAAGAGATCAGTTCAAGTGGGATGATTTCATTTCACAAGTTCCACAGATCCCCGAATACATTGTATTTTTCACAGGTCTCAAGAATATTTTCCCCCAGGAACTCCAGTCATTTTTCTAGCCCTTAAATGAAGGCAGGCCTGCAGTTTATTCCTGTGTATCGCCCAGACACACTAAATTCAACAACCTGTGGGACAGTGACAGTGGACTGCCACCTGCTGGTGGGAAAGTTTCTAGGCCAGTGATAGCATAGGACTGCAGCCAGAGCAGGGGTTCTTTTTTCATTTTCTTTTAAGATTTATTTATGCATACAAGAACTGGGGTACAGGCCAGAGGTGCAGGGGGTAAGAGGATTCACCAGAAACAGAGTAGGGAGCAGAACAGGTGGACTGAGATACACTGCTGAGGGGAGCAGCGGGTGAGTCAGGAGAGGTCTGCTGCCTCATATGGGTCACCTCCCTGGCCAGGGATTGAACTTGTGCTTTGGTGGCTGCGGATAGCGTCATAGTGCTGCACCTTAACCCCTTGTGCCACCAGGGAGGCCCCCAAAGCACGGGTTCTTAATCTTAGATTGTTCCACGAAGAATAGAAACCCCTTCTCAGAATAATATTTTCAAATTCACAATATAAAGCACATAGATTCTGAGTGAAGCCAATCATAATAAAATATTAGTATAAAATAATAGAAAAGTGATAATTTATATGTGACAGATCTATAATGTGATATATATTGATATCATTTATAAAGGTCTAGTGATAGTTATAACTACTAAAATTCCAAAGTGAGGAACAAAAATGGTATTTTGAGATAACTGCAACAGCTATAATGTGAGATGAGATCTCTGTGCTTTCTGCTGCAGATAGTCACAGGTTCTGCTGTTACGAGGCTGTTGCCTTCACCCATAAAGAAAGGAAATGCTAAATTTCAGCCAAGTTTATGCATACAAAAGCTGGGATGTAGGCCAGAGGTGTGCAGGGGCAGGGTGAGTGGATTCACCAGAGAAAGAGTGGGGAGCAGAACAGAAAGATTGACTTAAATACACTGCTGAGGGGAACAGCGGGCATTAGTTTTAAACACTATGTGACGGCTACTGGTTGTCTGTGGGGCTGTGGCTGAGATTTTATGGCAGTTGGGGGCTGGAGAGGTGCTGTGGAGGAGACGGTAGTGCTCAAAGGTCAAAGTTTGAATCCATAGGTGTCACTTAAGAGTATGGTGAGGTTTTCTCATCTATGAAATGGGAATGACAATGTTATCTTGTTGAAATGATTCAGTGACTTAACATGTGAAAACACATGGAGCTCAAGTGCTTATTGTAAACGAGAATGATTATTAAATGTCTATAAAGAACATGCACACGCACACGCTCTCTCTCCAAGAAACCTCAGAGTCTGAGCTCAGAAGATAGTGAACCCTTTCCTGCCAGCAAATGTGGATAAGTCTGCCTGCTTTTCCCACCCCAAGAGAACAGCCCCAAATGCAAGTAGACTTTCTCACCATGTTATTTTATTAGAAGCATATTTACATTATTGTAAGTTAACTTTGCAAAGAACATTTTACAAAAGTTTCATATAAAGTTTGGAAACTACATAAAAATAACTTCTATCCTTCATAAAGGGAAAATATAAGTTAGTAATATTTACTCTGCTAAAAATTGACTGAAAATGAGAAACAGCTCTTCAGAGAAAATATAAGCACAGGGCATGGGGAATACTGCATGCTTTTCAGCTGCGGGTATTGCACGTTGGCTCAATTGTGAGGCTGGGAGACCAAACCAGCCCCCATCCAGAAAGGATAGGAGAGCTGTTAGGCCTTAGGCTTCAGACAGTACTGAGCAGGGAAGCAGCAACTCCTTGAACAAGACTCCAATGTGAATGACAAGCCAAATAAGGGCAAGATCAAAAGACTTTCGCCTAAACCCGGAAACTGGCATTTCACCTAATACTCTCACACCAGGCTGCAAAAGACAGTATTGTAAACAAAGCTCAGTGGTCCTGCCTGTCCACCTGCTAGTCCTCGCTTTGGCTGGTGGAACATGGGTTCTGTGCTTATACTGCTGCTAGTTCATGTCTTGCCAGCACCGGTGCAGCAGAGAACAAAGAGGGATATTTGTTTCACTTGTCTCATTTGGGTGAGATCTGAAAACTCCATCTGGGCCAAATACTGAAGCATGCAAGATGTGTGCTCGCTCACCTCAAAAGACCACTGCCTTCTCAAAGCCCCAGAGCATATTTTCTGTATGCTTAAGACCTGGGGGATTCCCAAGCCCCCAAATTTCTTTTCCTGTTGAATGGCTACCCCTTCCTTCCCATTTAGTTGCAGCCAGTGCCAAGATTGTTTTCCAGAAATTGCTCTACAAAAATAAAGTGTCAAACCTGGAACTTTATGAGTGAAGGGGAGCATCTCCTATGATGTGGCAGCCACTCTACAGTCAGCAAAATAATATCTAGACTCAAGTTGCGCATGTGCCCTCTAAATCACCTTCAGTTTTGTTGTTTGTTTATAGCAGATAATCTTCCTGGAAGAGCCACTTATATTTGTTTCAAGTTGGAAATCAAGGTGAAAAGCTTCCTTCATAAGTAAAATGAGTGCTGGTTTGAGCATTTGCTTTATTAGGTTATCTGCCCTCTGTCACCTGTGAGGATCAGGATCTGTGGGAGGCAGCTGAGTAAATTGAAGGCCCAGGACTCCAGACACACAAGCTCTGCTTCTACTGTGTTCCCTGGGGCAGGAACATCCCATGTCTCCCTGATGCTTTTTCTTCCTGGACAAAAGTCCAAGTCTGTCAGATTGTCAGCTTCAGTCTCAAGTGTAAAACCAAGCATAAGAGCTGCATGAGGCAGGGGAAATGTCCTTCCCAAATTGTCTGTAGCAAGATCAGTGAATGTGAGCTGGAAAGCAGGCTGGGCTGTGAATGAACGCTTTGCATGGTAAGGAATTTCTCCATGAACGCAGGCTCCCCAGTGGGGGCCAAAATGTGCTAAACTGGCAGGTTAGCCTGTGCCCTGCAGTGCCAGCACCCAGCATATTACCATGCCAGTGGTTTTACCTATGTGCTCAGTGGCACAGGTTCAGCCAGCAAAAGTGTTCCAGCCCACCTGGCCACAAGAGGCCCAGGGCAGCAGCAAGCCTGGGTGGTACCAGGGCTTTAAACCCTGTGTGTGCAGCAAGGGACAACGCAAGATGATACAAAACACCAGGACCAGCAGAATGAATATTTCAGGCTCTCCCCCCTCCCACCACTATAGACATGGCCTTGTCTTGAGGAAAGCAAATTGAGGAAGAAGAACACCCCCTAGAGCAATATGGTCTTTACTGGGAACAAAATGCTGTTAGGGGTAGTGATCCTTGTCTGAGATGGAAGACAATGACTGAAAAGCCACCAAGAGTTACAGTATGGACAAGCCCATGGTGATGTCAGCAACAGTGTTTGGTGCCAGCGACAGCAAAACTGGTGTTTTGGCAAATAGGAAGTACCTCAAGCCCACAGAACACCCATTTCTCCTGGACTTTCACCCCACCAACAGCCAAAATCACTTACAGCTTAAAGGAATTTGGGGCTCAGAGAACATACATTAGAGTCAGGTGACATAAAGTAAAACCTAGCCCTCCAAGAGTAAGGGAGCAGTCAGGAACACTGGGCAGATCTGCTGGGCACAGCTGGGTGGAATGAGGCAGGGAGTTGGCATGGAAGCAAGAGTAAAGGGGGATCCTGAGTTACTTGTTCACAGAGAATGGGAAACCCCAGAGGCAGTCTTGGGTAGCTGTTAAGAAGCATCTGCAGAGCTGTAGGGGAAGAACTTGGCAGCCTTGTTTGGGGTGCTGGGGTTTAGGCACTCAGTTTCCTCATTCAGTTTGAAGAACATCTCCTGCTCCCTCTTCTTCTGGTTCAGATCTTCTTCCAGAGCCTGCGTGGACAGGGGGCAGAGAGAACTGGTCAGCCTCATAGAACACATGTCTCTCAACCACAGGAACCCCAACAAAGTGGCCTCATCTGAAAAGCACCCTCCAGGCCATAGTGTTTGGGTAACTTGGTCTTCACTCTTTATTCTCCCAGAGCCCACTGCCCAGATGGTAAGATACCACCCCCTCCTTCTTCGGCCACACAGTTTTCTGTGGACCAAGGGAAAATTCATGTGCTTTCATGTTCCAGCTCCACCCCCGATTCTGATTCTAGAGATTTGTGGTCAGGGTTTCTATGTTAGAAAAGATCATCCTGTAACTTGAAGGAGAGTGTATGTTGACAAGCCCTGCTGGAGGGGCCCTGTTCCTTTGGGGCATGCAAGTTTATCTGGATAATTTGGATCCTATCAAAAAAAAAAAAAAAAAAACTTGAGGATTCTCCATTAGTAAGCATTCAATTAAGAAAATATGCAGAGTGTAGTGAAAGGACATAAGCTTTGCAGGCAGACAATTCAGCTTCATTATCATCAGGCGTATGGCCTCTGCAAGTTGTCTTTCCTTTCTTTGGCTTTTTCTGTGTGGGAAGTAGCAGCATCACCGCCTACCTAGCAGGTGTCAAGGACTGAACTAAAACCACTTGGTCATGATGACTGAGTAGGTCCTCCATGCCTGCCACTATGCCATATTTTACCTTCACTCTGTGAGATGTAGATACTGTCACCCCCATTTTATAGATACAGAAACTGAGGCTTTCAGAGAGCTTAGGTTACTTGTCAGTCACCCAGTTATCGGGGAGCAGAGCCAGGCTGGGAGACCTGAGTGCAACTTTCAGAGTTGGAGCTCTGAAGCTCTCTGCTTTACCAGCAGCATAGCGGGCATACACAGGGAATGTGACTTCATCACTAAGGAACTCTGGTTGACAGTCAGACGCCTCTGATTTTCACTATGGAGGTATCTACTTTCCCAGGAATTGGCCAGTATGCTATCATATCTCTTTTAATAGTTTTAACAAATAATTACCAGGTTCCCCTTTAAGCCCTTGTTCCTTCATAGTACTAAATTCTAGTAAGTTCTACATCAGAGATAAGATGGGGAAAGGACATGCAGTCAATAATACCTATTATAGCACATCCATGTGGGGTAAGGTAAGGTATTGGAAGTCCTCTCTCACCTGGAGTTTGATTGATTATAAATTTCCAGTAATTCACACAGATCCTTGATTTAAGTTCTCCTTTCCTGAATGTTATAATGAAGTATCTTTGGCAAGCCAACATTAGACATAAGCAGGGTAAAGGTAGTAGTATTTAAGCTTTTCTAGCAGAACTTATAAAATGCCGTGTCTCTGGAAGCCAGCCAGGTGAATGAAATGAGGGGGGCGAGCTGGGGGTGAAGAGCATGGTTCCCCAGCTCCAGCTCATGTGCTGCGATGGGCCCAGGGTTGCTAGAGCTGTAATTTTTATTGCTATATGTTGTTTAAATCTAGTACCTGTAAGCCAGTTTCACCCTATTGAGGTAATAGTTTGTGACCTCTGCTATAGGAATACCAATATAATTATGACAGCTACCACTTTTTGAGCAGAGAGGTTTAGTAACTTGCCTTGGGTCTCACAGCTGAGAATGAGGGAGGTAGGACTTTATCTCCTCTTCTCTTATCCAAAACCTTGCTCTTAGGCACTACACTATTCCACCTACTATATGCATGCCTTGACTAAACTAAGGCAGGAATTGGCATTTTTCTCTGAAGGACCAGATGGTAAATAATTACAGCTTTCTAGGGCTATAAGGTGTCTATCATAAACATTCGAGCCCTTGTAGTGCAAAATCAGCCATTGACATTATTTTGTTGAATAAGCATAGCTGTGTTCCAATAAAACTTTATTTACAAATACAGGTGGTGGCCTAGATTTGGCCCATTGGCAGTTAACTAACAGCCACTTTAGAGGAAGAAATGTTAGCTTGTCTGAGGCAATCTGGGATATGAGCCAGAGATAACATGGTCATTCCTTTTTAAATCTCTCTCAGAATATGTAAAGAGTATAGGAACCCCAGGTAGGAGATACCAGAGTTAACCCTACGACAGTTCATGTCAGCCAGGGCATGATTGATTTATCAAGTATCAAGAGTCCCAACAGGCCATGGCTGCAGAAACTGATGAGCATGGGCTTACTAACAGGAAGCACTGGGATCCTGGCCAGCTTCCAGCCAGAAAGTTCCATTAGCACCAGGAGGGAACCTTTACTTCAAGGACTTCCAAGGCCACTGCATAGCTGAGGTTGGCAGCTACCTAGCTAGACCACAGTTAGCGCAGGCAGAGCTTATGTATGATAGAAAAGCAAACCTCAGTACTAAGGACAAGTGGGACATATGGTCAAGGGCAATTAGAGTAGCTCGCCTCAGATTTCAGGAGGCTGGAAGGAAATGAGAATGTTGGCCTGTGCTATGAGCTGGCAACTTTTTGCATAAACACTATACAATATCCATGTCTCCCACTTTATAAATGACCCACACTGAGGCCCTATGACAGTTCATTTTATGTGTAAATTTGGTGAGGCTGGTACCCTGTTGTTTGGTCAAACACCAGTGGAGATGTCATTGTGAGGGAAATTTTTAGATGTAATTAACATTAATTCAGTAGACTTTGAGGAAAGCAGATCATCCTCTATAATGGGGGTGGGCCTCATCCAATCAGTTGAAGCTCTTAAGAGAAAGACTGAGGTCTCCCTGAGGATGAAGGAATTCTGCCTTCAAGACTGCCCTGGGACTCTTCCCTGAAGATTTCATAGTTACCAGGAACTGAGCCAACTCCTTAGAATGCATCTCCTACTCTCCCTCTTAATATATGTGTGTGTAAATGCTCGTGCCCTTCCTTCTGGTTGTTTCTCTGGAAAGTCCTGATGAATATAAGCCCAGAGATGTAAGATGTAGTGTCCTAAAGCTTTTTTTTTTTTTTTTTGCTGGTCGCAAGAGCAAACATTTCTAGAACGTATTGTCAAGCGATGTATGAGCGCTCACTCAAACGCCCTGATGCCATCGTAGTCCAAATCTTTTCTTACTCAAATTACTGTAGTAACTTCTTCACTGGTCTCTCTGCTTCCACCCTTGGCCCCCAACCAGGCACCAGAGGGGTCCTTTCCAAAACACATGTCAGATCATGTCCTCTTCTATTCAGAATGTTCAAAGCTACAAAGGACCCTGTAACTCCTACCATCGCAGCACCACCAGTGTGCTTCGCTTCACTGGCCTCCCCATTGTTCCTTGAACATGGCAAGGATATTCTCACCTCAGGGCACTTAGAGTTACTTTTCCTCTGCTCAGAAGGCTTCTGCCTACCCCCAGAGAGCTGCATGGCTCTCCCCTTGTGTCCTGCACTCTGCTCAGCCTCTCCCTGCAGCCTCCCTATCATGCCATCCAGCGCAGCCCTTATTTCCAGCTCTAGTGGTTCCTTTTCCTTCACTAGAAGGTGAACTCTCTGAAGGCAGAGGCTTGTCTGTTTTGTTGACTATAGTAACTGCAAAACCTAAAATATTGTGGGATTTCTCACATGTAGTCAGGAAGTATTTGTTGCATGAATGAATGTCAAATTAACAGTAGCAGACAGTGGTAATATCATGTGATAAGTACCATGACAGGAAGGTGACAGAGCCCAGAGGAGACAGCCACACAGCTTAAGTAGGAGAAGCCTGAGTTCTGACAGCAAAGAGAAGTTGGCCAAGCAGAGACTGATGGAAACAGAATATTTGACAAAGGGAATGTAGGCAAAAAAAGACCCAGCAGGGAACAAGGAAAATGCATATGGCATGGAACTCCATTAAAATCCTCAAGAGTACTGAAATCTGTTTGGAGGACAGGTAGAAATTGAAATTAACAGGAGATTAGGCTATGTATTCCATAGAACCCTGGAAGGTGGTTCCTTGGGATTCTTTCCAGTGGATTCAGCAAGATCAGAAATATTTTCATAATACTAAAACATAGTTTGCCCTTTTCACTATTTTGATTTTTTTTTTAAGATTTATTTATACAGAGAAGAACTGGGGTACAGGCCAGCGGTGCGGGGGGTGAGAGGATTCACCAGAGACAGAGTGGGGAACAGAACAGGCAGGTTGATTGAAATACACTGCTGAGGGAGCAGCGGGGGAGACAGGAGAGGTCTGCTGCACCATGTGGGTAGCTCCCTGGCCAGCCAGGGATCAAACTCATGCTGCAGTGGCTAAGGATAGCTTCATAGTGCTGTTAAACCCTTGTGCCACCAGGGAGGTCCTATTTTGATGTTTTTTACTTAAAGATTTATTTTTTATTTATACAAGAGCTGGGGTACAGGTCAGAGGCACAGGAGGGTGAGAGGATTCACCAGAGACAGAGTGGGGAGCAGAACAGGCAGAGGGACTGAAAGGACTGCTGAGGGGAGCAGCGGGCGGGCGAGACAGGAGAGGTCTACCAGGCCGTGTGGGAATCTCCCTGGCCGGCCAGGAATCGAACCCACACTGCAGAGGCTGCAGACAGCTTCGCAGCACTGTGCTCAACCTGCTGCACCACCAGGGAGGCCCTATTTTGATATTTTAATGGCACAAAAGCAATGGTGGGAAAAACTGTTGGAACTTTAGGAAGAATAAAGACAGGGGCACGAAAATGTATACTTACTCTTCACCACCATGTACTTAAAGTAAGGAAAAAAATGTCAATTTCATTTAATCTCTTCTTTGATGAACCAACACAAATGATTCATTTTATTAGATCCGGACCTCCAAGGTCTTTAGTATTCTATGCGATGAGGGGCCTCCCTGGTAGCGCAAGGGGTTAAGACACAGCACTATGAAGCTATCTGCAGCCACTGCAGCAAGAGTTCAATGCCTGGCCAGGGAGGTGACCCTCATGGCGCAGCAGACCTTTCCTGCTTCATCTGCTGCTCCCCTCAACAGTGTATTTCAGTGGATATGCCTGTTCTGCTCCCCATTCTGTCTGGTGAATCCTCTCACCTCCCCACATCCCTGGCCTGCACCCCAGCTCTTGCATAAATAAATCTTAAAAAAAAAAATATTCTTTGTGATGAAATGGGAAGCTCACCTACCATGCACTTCTGGTACAAAGTATGATAGGTGTCTAGAGATGTCCTTGTGCAGCTGTTTGAGCTGAACTGCTTTTTTATGGAACATCATTTTTATTAATGGGATGACTGATAAGTTCTGGTTATTTGGGAAAGATTTTCTTGAAAAGTGAGCATTCTACTTCAAAGTAAGTATTTATTGTTAATGACAAAATTACAGGGTTGAGGAAGAAATTAGAATTTTAGAAAACTTGTGCCTGTTTCCTGAACTTGAGAGCTACTCAATATTTAAAGATCTGATGAGACAAGTGATGATATTAATGGCTGTGAAATTTTCACTGTTGTATAATGCAGCACATCAACATTTGGAAGATTCACATAACTCTGTGAACCATTATTTTTCCAAATGACCAATGCTTTCTGTTACAAGATCATGCCTGGGGGAAAGTTCTATTCAAGGCACAAGAGACAGGCCAGTGGACTCTAAAGTAACAGCATTGAAGTGCATTGATATGGGTTCAGGTTCTATGCTGCAGCTAGCCTTTATCAAACTACTTGAAGTTTTACTCTAAGGTTCCCCCCACTACCCAAAATTATAATGATTTGGTAATTATTTTGGGGGTCTGGAATGCTATTACCACTAATGTACATGGAAAGAAATCTTCGAACATTTTCAGACCCCCAAAATAACCTACCAAATACAAATCCTCTACTTTTGAGTAGCAGGAAAAAAACCTGTGTCAAATAAGAATATTCATAAAGATCTGAAGAGGCTACTAAAATACTCCTTCCTTTTCCAAACACATAGCTGTGTGAGACCAGATTTTCTACACTCAAACCAAAATAAAAGATCACACAGATTAAAAGTCAAAGATGAGAACTGAACAGTCTTCTTTTAAGCAGATGTTAGATTTGCTACATGTAAAAACAACAATCTTCTCACTAATTTAGTTTGAAAAATGTAATTTTTCATGGAAATTTGCTATTTCAATAATAGCATGTAGTAAAATAGTAAGTATTATTTTAAATGAATAATTTCTAAATGTTCAGCTAAATCTCCGTAAATAAAAACAAAAGCTCCTTGGTGCTCTTCAGCTCTTGAAAAGCAAAAAACCACCAGGCTAGAGGGTCAGCATGGCTGGGTACAGAGATGGCGAAAGGGTGGGACACAGCAACAGCAGGTGGTGTAAGGGACCCAGTTAGAAGGAGGAAGCAGTGAGGCCTTCCGGGGACAATAGGGCAGCACTGAGTGGAGGAACGACACTCGACAGCAGGGAAAGGGAGCAGAGGGAATGTTATTCATGTTGGTTGCTTGGCCATCCAGTTACATGGAGGTGCCACTCACCAAGGCATGGAAGAATGGAGGAGGGGTTGATGGCCGTGAATTGCATTTAGGATATGATGCAGTAGGGCAGGTGGGAACTTTGTGCTGCTAAGAGGGCAATTTGGGGGGCAGAGCTTGGAAATTGTGGATGGAGCCATGGGAATGAATGATCTCAGGCAGAGAGAGCATTCATACCACACAAGGACCAGTGATTCGGAAAGTGGGCTCAGGAGGCAGAGCCTGATCAATAGTGCTAGTGGCTAGGAGATTCAGCCACAAGGATGCTGTTATTGACCTGAGCAAAAAATAAACACAAGATAAGAAACAGAGAGAAAGGACAAAAGGGGGCTGGGGGGAGAGGGGGAAATGCAGGGCTGAAGGAGGGCAGGATTTTTTTTTTCCCCCAAAACATGAATATCTTTTATTTATTTTCATCTTGAGGGCAGGTTTTTTATTTTATTTTATTTTTTTTTATTTTTTAATTTTTATTTATTTATTTTTTTATAGAGGCATGTTTTTATTTATTTATTTATTATATTTGTTTGTTTTGTTTATACATGCACTGGGTACAGTCAGAAGCGCGGGAGGGTGAGAGAATTCACCAGAGCCAGAGCGGGGAGCAGAGCAGGCAGAAGGACCGAAGTACACTGCTGAGGGGAGCAGCGGGCGGCAGGAGAGGTCTGCGCGCCATGTGGGACCCTCCTCTGGTGGCCGGGGAGCAGCCGGGGATCGAACCGGCGCCGCAGAGGCCGCAGGCAGCTTCGCAACCCAGCGCTCAACCGCTGCACCACCGGGGAGGGAGGGCAGGTTTTTTAAATGTGAAAGCATGGTAGCAGAAATCTGAGACTGGCCCCTAATCGTCCTCTCTGTGTGATCCCCACTCCCATTTGTGTATGGGTAGAACCTGTGAATATGCTGTCACTCCTTGCAGGGAGGTGATCCAATGGTTTTAGTCACATGTGCCTTGTAAGAGCTTGTTCCATCTGGAAACCGGAGGGGACATCAGGGAAATTCAGAGCATAAACAAGCTTTAATGCAAGGTTGCTATTTGAAGATGGGAATGATACATGATAAGGAATGAGGGCATGGGCCTCCCCGGTGGCGCAGCGGTTGAGCGCTGGGTTGCGAAGCTGCCCGCGGCCTCTGCGGCACCCGTTCGATCCCCGGCTGCTCCCCGGCCACCGGAGGAGGGTCCCACATGGCGCGCAGACCTCTCCTGCCGCCCGCTGCTCCCCTCAGCAGTGTACTTCGGTCCTTCTGCCTGCTCTGCTCCCCGCTCTGGCTCTGGTGAATTCTCTCACCCTCCCGCGCTTCTGACTGTACCCAGTGCATGTATAAAAAAGAAAGAAAGAAAGAAAGGAAAGAAAGAAAGAAAGGAAAGAAAGGAAGGAAAGGAAGGAAGGAAGGAAGGAAGGAAGGAAGGAAGGAAGGAAGGAAGGAAGGAAGGAAGGAAGGAAGGAAGAAGGAAGGAGGAAGGAAGGAGGAAGGAGGGGAAGGAGGGGAAGGAAGGGAAGGAAGGAAGGCAGGAAGGAAGGCAGGAAGGAGGAAGGAAGGAAGGAGGAAGGAAGGCAGGAAGGAGGCAGGAAGGAAGGCAGGCAGGAAGGCAGGCAGGAAGGCAGGCAGGAAGGAAGGAAGGAAGGAAGGCAGGCAGGCAGGCAGGCAGGCAGGAAGGAAGGAAGGAAGGAAGGAAGGAAGGAAGGAAAAGAAAGGGAAGGGAAAGGAAAGGGAAAGGGAAGGGAAAGGGGGAGGGAGGGAGGGAGGGAGGGAGGAAGGAAAGAAAGAAAGGAAGGAAGGAAAGAAAGGAAGAAAAGAAAGAAAGAAAAACATGCCTCTCTAAAAAATAAATAAATAAATAAATAAATAAAATATAATCTTGTTTAAAAAAAAAAAAAAAAAGGAATGAGGGCAGCTGCCACAGCAGAGAGTGGCCCCTGGTGGAGACCTTACAGTCACAAGGAACTGTTTTGTGTCAAAACAAGCTTAGAGGTAATTCTTCCCAAGAACTAAACATCTTGATTATGGCCTTGTCGAGACCCACTGGAGCCCACCTAGAATTTTGACCTCCATAATTACGTGATAAAAATAAATGGGTGTTGGTTTAAGCTACTAAATGTACTAATGTGTGGCAATTAGTTACACAGCAATAGAAAACTAAAAAAGGTAACTTATCTGGCATTGGATTCTGACTTCTCAGAGTACTTTCTTGAAGAAAAATATCCCACTGATTCCTACTCACTGCTGTGTCCTCAGTGGATACCACAAGGTTATGATTCCTTGAGACAGAGCTAAAACAAAGGTGTCTGGACTAGTGCAGCAAGGAGGCTGCCATCACAGAGTATGGAAGCCACCCAGCATTCAGCTGTAGTTAGAAAGGCCTTCTCCTAGTCAGGCTAGAAACCATTGTGCGGATCCACAAGCAAGAGTCCACCAAAATGAGTAGACCTAAGATGCCCTGGGCAGACATCTATGGCATGGCATGGGACAGAGTCCACCAGTGCCACCATAGTTACCTTTTTTCGTGGCCGGAGCTGGTCCCGCCATTCCTTCAGGTTCTGGTTATGGCACTCATCCAAAGCCTTCAACTTCTGGGTTTCATGCTCTACCAGGAGGTGACACTTTTCATTCTGGAACAAATTCCAGGTGAAACAGGTAAGTTGAAAAGCAGAGGCACTGAGGACTGAGCCATACATATATCGCCATGAGGGCACCCGTATATTCTCATTTTCACTTCTCCGGGCTTATAAACCCCATTTATATAAATGTGTCTACATGTAAATGCATATATACCAAGAGGTTCCTGCAAATTCCAGAATATTGGTTTCAACAGTCATTTGTGTAGTGGGATCTATAAGAATCATGCAACTTTTTTGTGCTTTTTACGTTGAGTTTTTCAATATGTCATTTAAACAAAACAAAAAAAAAAAACATTAACACTATTAACATATAAATATAACATATGACCTAGTGCCACCACGCCTAGGCAACCACTATTTTACATGTATTTCCTGTCAGGCTCTGTCCTACGTGCTTTTTAGCTCACCCTGGATATACAGCTCTGAAATCGCCCTCCCCACTTAACATTATACTGTAAACATTTTCTACAATGGTCATGAAGTTTTCTACAATCATTTTTAATGCCTTCAGAATATCCCAGGGTAGGGACCTGGGATATTCAAATTTATAAACAAACCCATTTGGCCACTTTAGTTTTTTGGCCACTTTTAGTTGTTAATTTTCACTTATAATAATACTGTGTTAGAGACTGAATAGTATCTCATCAAAATTCATGTTAAAGTTCTACTCCCCAATGAGATGGTATTTATTGATAATTGGGTTTAGGTAATTGTAATGGAATTAGTGTCCTTTTAAGAAGAGACACCAGAGAGCTTTTTCTCCCTGCCAGGTGAGGGCACAGCACTAGGATCACTATCTACAATTCAAGGAGAGGGGCTTCCAGGCTCCAGCACAAAGAGAAAATTTGTTATTTTAAGTCACCCAGTCTGTAGTATTGACTGAGATAATCTGTGTATATAAATTATAATTTTTTACCATATATTTCCTCAGGAGAGATTTATGGCAACAGATGAGGGCGATGAACCTGGCTGAGGTGCTGCCGACCTCTCTGTTCTCTGAGATAAGTCGTCATCTCATAAAATTTACCTGGAATCTCTTACAGGCAAACAATCTTGTAACCTATAGGAGTTCGTAATAAGCAAAGATGGTGTTGGGGGGGAGTACCTTCATTCAGGTACCTCTACTTCTCTTGAAAGAGAGTAGAACCCTTTGAGGGATTTTCATTTTAGATTTCAAGCTCAAGAGTTGTGGGAGTTTACAAAGTGTTTAGGGATAATACTCAGAGCACCTCTGATATGCCAGGGCCTGGGTCTCCAGCACTTTCTATGGGTTCTTTCAGTTAATCACACATGAGGCAGGGATGGGAAAACAGATGCAGAAGATGAGTGGCTTAGCTAAAATTCACACAGCAAGTTGCAGACCCCTGCCTGTCAGGCTTTAATGCCTGTAATGTTTCCTCCCTCCCTGTCCAGAAATTGTCAGAGGGATCCAACAGCCTGAGCAGTGAGGATCTTGGCAGATTCTAAGATAGCAGGTTTGAACTGGTCCACCCCTCTGTATGACAATGCCTTCATCAGCCACGAGGGGGCTCCAAGTGCCAGCTTCTGGGTGGGCTCAACTCAGAAAGCCAGGGAAGTTGAGGTCAGGGATCTCCTTACAGAGAGGTAGTCACCAAGGGAACCCCTTTTCCTGATCTTAATGGTGAGGTGCTCAAAGCTTTTCCACTAAGGATGGTGTTAGCTTTGAGACGGTCTTTACCAAGTTGAGGGAGTTCCCCTGTATTCCTGGTTTATTAAGAGTGCTGATCACAAATGGGTTTGGCTTCTGTCAGATACTTTTTCTGCACTGATTGATAGGATTCTGTGATTTTTCTTCCTTAGCCTGCTGATGTCACAGATTACATTAGTTGATGTTACAAATGTTGGGCCAGCCTGGGATAAACCCACTTAGTCAGGGGTACCTACCTGTTTTTATAACTGTTGAATTTGATTGGCTTATATTTGAGAAGTTGTGTGTCTGTGATCATGAGTGTTTTCCTGTCTTGTAATCTGTCTTCTAATGTCTGCTCTTGGTGTTAGGACAGCTGGGACACCTTTTCCCAAGACCCGAGGATGACCAAGAAATCCAGCAGCATGTCTGCTGCCAGGTGAGGCATTTTCCATCTGTCATCTCACTCACAAAACCTCCTCCTGTCCTGCAGGGGATTGTCACTACCACCCCGCTGATTTTATGGATGTAGGAACTATGGCTTGAAAAGGTGCTGGGATTTGGCTGATTATCACACAGGAAGGCAGAACTGAAACCCTGCCTTGTCTGATGAGAATTCTTCTGTTTGTACAGTTTTTGGTCCCCAAGAGCTGACTGACTGGCTTGGGAGAAACAGGACCCAGGGTGGGGGGCTGAGGTACGGTACCTGCAGCTGCTGCAGCTCACTCATGTTGCTCTCGCACTGGGCCGCCATGTCCCGCACCTGGTTCTCATGTTTCTGCTGTTGCTGCAGCCGCTCTGACTTCTGCCTCTTCTCCTCCTGCTGGGAGAACTGCACAGAGAGAGGAGAGACCCCATCAGAGAGGCTGGTTTGTGCACAGCCCCAGGGCCACTTAGTCCTCCTCCTGAGTTGTGACATGCTAGGACAGGGTCCAGAAATCACAGGACCTCAGGGCCACCAGTTCCACACAGAAGACATGAAGTGGGATCTGGGTGGAAGAGGAAAGGGGTTACCGGCAGAGGAAGCTGCACGATAGAAGCCCGGGGTATAAAAAGGAAGTGAATGAGAAGACAGCAAAGTCCAGAGCCACAAGGCTGTGCTTCCTCTCCTGCCCCAAAAAGGGGATGCCCCACTGAGAGTGAAGCTTCTGGGCTATGACCTATGATTCTCTCTCGAGTCTTGCTGCATCAGTATCTAGGACCACCCCCCACCGCCCCCCAAAGGGATCTTTCCCCACGTACCTGCTTGATCTTCTCGCGCTGCTCAGCAGCGGGTGCACCGTTGATGTGCAGGCTCTTCTTGTACATGGCCATGCGCGTCTTACCCTCGCTTCTCTGAATCTTGGGCAGCCGTGCCTTCTCCTGCTGCTGCCGCACCTTCAGCTGCTCCATCATGCGCTGGTTGTAGCGCTGCATCTGCTCCCGCTCCTGAGGGGCACACCCATGGGGGCAGGTCAGTTGTGCGCAGGCTCACAGGCCAAAGGCTGCCACATCTACCTCGGGAACCACCGCATGGCCCAGAGTGCTCAGCAGAGCAAGGCTTAAGTAACAGTAGAAGTAAAATAACATTTCTGTTCTCCCTTGTAAAATAAGGTTTTGGATTTTTTTTTTTTTTTAATTTTATTTTTCGCGACCAGGGAGGTGACCCACATGGCGCAGCAGACCTCTCCTGTCTCACCCGCAGTGTATTTCAGTATGTCTGTTCTGTTCCTCACTGTCTCTGGTGAATCCTCTCACCCCCCACACCTCTGACCCCTACCCCAGTTCTGATATGCATAAATAAATCTTAAAAAAGCTGGGGTGCAGGCAAAAGATGGGGGGTGTTGAGAGGATTCACCAGAGACAGAGTGGGGAGCAGAACAGGCAGATTGACTGAAATACTGCTGAGGGGAGCAGCGGGGGATCAAACTTGTGCTGCAGTGACTGCTGATAGCTTCATAATGCTGAGACTTACCCCCTTGTGCCACCAGGTTTTAGCTTCCTTCCTTCTCATCTAATCATTGTTGGCATGCCATCGTGAGCTAGTATCTTTAGCAGAATGTACAGAGACAGGGATGGTTTTATTACTGTTGGTGGCAGATGTCAATTACTATTTTTGATGAAGACTTGATAAATTTGACTTTCTTTCACCTAACACTCACTTGCATTTCAAAACTCAAGCCAGAGTATCACCTTCTCCAAGAAGCCACTCCTGACTTAGCGCTACGCCAGTTTCCCTCTTTTACTTAGATTAGGGGTGTCATTAACCACACCTGAAAGGCATCCAGACCTCAGTTTATCTGCCTCTGTCCTCAGAAGTGGGCTGAACTGAGACAATGACCCAGAAGTAGAGGGTGCTTTGGCCACACACAGCAGGGGCCCTCGCTGGGGGAGGTTGGAGAAGGCTTCCTAGCAGATGTAGTTTATCAAAAAGCATTCTGAGGGAATGTGTGAGAAAGGAAATATGCAAGAAAGGAGACAGGATGAAAAAAGAGAGAGGGTCAGAGCCAGTGCAGGAATTGTATGGTTTCCTCTATTCTTGGTCCTCCACCTGAGGCAGGACATCCCCACGAACCTCCCAGGGCCCCACTGTGGCCACTCCCAGCTCCTCTCATGAGCACAAATGGGGCCCCATTCAGGGTGCAGCCTCGTACTCTGCCGGGGCAGCCCCATCCACCTAGCCAGGAGTCTCACCTTCTCGTGCTTGCGCACCAGCTCATGCCGCTGCAGGAAATACTGATCTTTGAGCTGCTGCTTCACCAGCTGATGCTTCTCTTGTAGGTGATGCTCCTCCATCTCCCATAGGGCCGCCTCCCGGTCTGCAAGAGACACACCACATGGTGAGGTGCCGATGGCCAGGGTCCCATTCTGATCCTCCGTGAGGGCTCCTCCCGCGGCAGCTGATTGCTGTGCTGCCTCTTTATGTTGGCTGAGCTGACTGAGCCAACTCCTAGAAACTTCCTTAATAATGAAGAGATGATGGCTCCCAGCAGCAGGAAGATTTGTTTCTGAGTCAGGGCCGGAGACCTAGGGTAGAGCCAGCTCCATCACTGGGATTCGGAATCAGTAATCAAGCTCCTCTGCATCTCAGCTTCCACCTCTGCCAAATGGACACAACTGTGCCCCAGGGAGAACTGCCCCTGGGAGACATTCTTATGGGCAGGCAGGAAGGGTTCGTGTGGGAACCCCATGAAAAAGACAGGACAGCCTCTTGTCACTACGTCCTCTTTCTTGTCCCCTGCAGGTCCCACATATGCATTATTAAGACTACAGCATCTGGCATTTTATCACTGGAAGCCCCAGGAACAGGGGCAGGGAGCTGGGTCAGATGGAGACCCTTTTGCTCTACAAGACACAGCGGGTCACAAGTGTTCGGTTTATTTCACTGCATCCCTGCTCTGGGAAGAACTGGATCTACCCCACACTACATTGGGATAGACACTTGGCTTCCAGACCTAAGTCAGAACCACCACTCATAAGTAGGATGGTGCTCATGGATGTCTCAGGACAAAAAAAAAGCCAGGGCTTCCCTGAAATGTGAGTGGCTCTTTTAGAATGTCAGCACACTGAGGACCTCACTTCGTTGGGCTGACACTGCTTAACTGTACCTGTCACAGTCACTTAACATTTCAGTCAGTGGCAGACCACATGTATATGTGGTTCCAACAGGCTAGACCTCCAAGGTTTGTGTAGTTACAACCATGATGTTCGCACTATGAAAACACCTAACAAAGTTTTTCATTGCAGATCCCTGTTAAGCAGCCCATGCCTGTCCTCCAAGAAGACATGATTAAATATCCTTAAAGCGTAAGTGCCTTATATTACATATCAAAAGACCACATTGTAAATAAGCCACAGATAGCGCTCGTGCATTGGACCTGCAGTGTTTACTTCTTCATGGCAGGCCAGAACCTCAGAAACCCAGACATCAGCCTAACTTTTCCAGTTGTTTTTAAATGGGGCTTAAAACAAGCAGATCACTGAGAGCCTGCGTGCTTTGCATACCTCAGAAAACTGCACCCTGCATCTGCTCCTATAGATAAAACACCCCAAGGCCATTTCCCCTGCCATGTGAGATGCAGACTCATAGGCCCCCTCTCCGACCCCATTTTTCCCCAGGAGTTCCATTGCCTTCCTCCCTCTGGGTGGCAGAAGTTCTCATAACGGATTCCCCAGCATGCAGCTCTGTCAAAATACCATCACACCACAGTAGTTAGGAGTTCAGCTTCAAGGTGAGCTTTGTGTTCAAGGCCTGGGTCAACCACACATTAATTTTGCAACCTCAGCCAAAGGGCATTCAACCCTCCAAGCCTCAGTTTCATTGTCTATGAAAATGGTTAGAATAGTAGACCTGCCTTGTAGGGTTATGGTGAGGATTCAATGAGGTGAAAGCATGAGAACTCACTGGCACACAACCTGGCTGAGCAGTTGCTTGACATCTGATACCCGATGCTGTCACAAGGGGCTGGGGCCGTTGGTCTACACCCCTCACCCCCCGCCCGCCACCATTTACCCATTTCATTTATTTGCAGTTTCCACCCACTCTACATCACTTCCTTTCTTACCCCCTTGATATCTGCAATATTATCAAATAGCATTGGTGATAATTGGTGTCTCCACCTCAGGGTGGACTTGGGGGAAAGTTTTCATCATGTTGTACCATGAAGAAAGATATTTGGTTTTAGGGTGAAGAGCTAGCTGGCGGCCGTTCCTTCGCAGAGATTCTGGGTCAACATGGCACTGCTGCTGCCGGGCACCCACCTCGAAGGAGCTCCTGCTTCCTTGTGAGGCACTCACGCTCCTTGTCACAGATCTCCCGCCTGTTGTCAGTGGTGATCCTCTTCATCGCCTGCTCCAGGTCCTCCTTCTGCTTGGCTACGAAGTCCCGGTCCTGTAGGGGAAAGAAGACAGATTTTTATTCAGCTCTGAGTTTGGTAACTTAACTTTTATTTTTATTACAGAAGAAATGTCATCACGATGGGAAAAGAAAATATACAGAGGGGAAATTCAATATTTCAAGATGGATCAACCAACTGTGACATGAGCTTTTAGGGACCAAGTTGTTTATTTTTAAACAGTAAGGATGACTTTATGTATTTATTTATGCATACAAAAACTGGGGTTTAGGCCAGAGGTGTGGGGGATGAAAAGATTCACCATAGACAGAGTGGGGAGCAGAACAGGCAGACTGACCGAAATACACAGCTGAGGGGAGCAGTGGGCGAGACAGGAAAGGTCCGCTGTGCCATGTGGGTTAACTCCCTGGCTGGGGATCGAACTCAGGCCACAGTAACTGCCGATAGCTTGTAAGCACTGGGACTTTAACCCCTTTGCCACCAGGGTGGCCTAGGGCCAAGTTGTTTTAAAAAAGACATTCCGGGGCCTCCCCGGTGGCGCAGCGGTTGAGCGCTGGGTTGCGAGGCTCCCTGCTGCCTCTGTGGCACCAGTTCGATCCCCGGCTGCTCCCGGACCACCAGAGGAGGGTCCCAAATGGCGCGCAGACCTCTCCTGCCGCCCGCTGCTCCCCTCAGCCGTGTACTTCCGTCCTTCTGCCTGCTCTACTCCCCGCTCTGGCTCTGGTGAATTCTCTCGCCCTCCCGCTCTTCTGACTGTACCCAGTGCATTTATAAACAAACAAACAAATAAATAAATAAAAATACATGCCTCTTTTAAAAAGGAAAAAAAAAAAAAGACATTCCGGAGACAGTTGAAATACTGTATTACTGTCTTGACTGTAAATATGACATTATTATGTAATTGTTAAATATTAAAAATTCTAATGCCTGTTTATAGTATTGTAATATTTTTTAGATACATTTCTTTATTATTATTGAGGTCTGGTGATGGCTCTGTGGGGTTCATTATACTATTATACTTAATTTTCTATAACAAAGAATACAAAAGTAAAAGAATAATTTAGGAAACACTTAAGAAGAAACTAAAAACTTCCCAATAACTCTATCAGAGGTAGCAAGTGTTTGAGATATAGCAATACCAGTATATCTACATCAATTGTTACTATTTCACAAGATTTGAAAAGACTTGAGGAGACATCTGTATATTCATGTTCATAACAGCCAAGGGGTGGAAACAAGTGTCCACACACACAGTCAGATAAATAGAACATCATTCAGTCTTAGGAAATTCTTACATAGGCTAAAGTATGAATGAATCTTGAAGACATTATGTTAAGTGAAACAAGCCAGTCACAAAAGAACAAATAAGTACTGGAAGAAATAAATTTAGCAAGATCCACATGCAAGATCATGTACAAATGCTGATGTAATTCTATATTCTAGCAATAGCAACTAGACATTAATAATAAAAAAGAAATAGTACTGGGTATACCATAGCACCAAAAGACATGAAGTATCATTCTAAGAAAACTTGGTATGATTCCATTTATGAGGTTTAATGTGTAGAGACAGGAGTAGAAGGGTGGCCTCCAGGGCTGTGGGGAGGCGGGCTGGGAATTGCTGAGGGTGGGTGTAGAGTTCCCAGTTTTGTGAGCTAATGGCAACAACAATGTGAATGTACTTCAAGCCATTGACTCGTACACATATGATTAAAATGGGAATTTTATGTCTGTCTCTCCAGTTTTATGAAATCATTTAATATTATAGTGATACCATGTTCTGCTAAACCCAATCACATATAAGGCATTGGTAACATGGACTCTGCTACTCTCCACGCCTTTGGGAAGAAGCAGCAGAATGTGCAGAGACTGTAGTGAAAGGGGGCTGGGCAGACCTGGAGGCCCTCAGCATGTGAGAAGATGGTGTTATCTTATGAACAAACAGGGAGCTGGCACAGGGCAAGGGAGGTGGGGTGTTACATGACAGATTTGTAATTTGTGTTGGTCAGGGGTAAGAGAAAGGACTGCAGGGGTGTGGTGCCAAGGAAGAACCCTGGAGAGCAGATTGGACAATGGCCAGGAGTCAGAGATATTGAAAACCTAATGGATCCAGATATAGTTAGGAGAAAGAACACTGCTTCAGAGGTGAGAAAGAACTGGAGGGAAAGGAGGCATGAGGAACAACAAATTTGCCGGCCAGACAGCAGGATGGAGGATGGTGCTCAGAACAGGATCAGGTCTGGAGATCACTGCTTTGAAGTCTGAGATTCCAGAAGACACCAATTGAATAGATGGATATACTGATTTGGTCAAGGCAACATGACATACAAACAGCCCTAAAACAAAGCAGGAAACACTAAAGGCTTTGGGGGAGATGGATGTAAAGGGCTAGGGTATTCAGAGAAGGCTGCGTGGGGGACGTGAGAGCAGCCAAGAATGGGCTGTATTTAGAAGAGCAAGCATTTGAGGGATGGGCCATAAGCAAAACCAGAGAGGGGATCAGGTCACCATTCTCAAACCTGGGGACCCAGGCCCCTCCACTCTGGGCTGATGGCCAAGACTCACCAGAAGCTGCTTTTTCTGAGCATGCTCATCCATCTTCTGCTTCATACTCTCCTTCCGCTGCTGGCGGGGAAGCTTCTCCACTTCATTCTTTACCTGCACCATAGACAACAGAGTGAGGGCTAGAGAGCCTACTGGCAGGCGGCTGGTGAAGGGCTTTGCTTCAAGATCCATCATCTATGGTCTACTCCATAGTCTTCAGAACTCCTGTGATTCAAAGGTCACCCTGTGAGTTGTGCAAAGTGCCCAGGAAGGAATCGGAGGCCTGGGAAGAGGCTGTGAGCTCTCTAGGGTCTGGTGAAGCCTTTGGCCTGCATTCTGTCATTTCATCTACAGAACAACCTCATGAGGTAACCCTGTCACGACCTGCTTTCACAGAGGAGGAGACAGGCGTGGTGGGTTTCAGCAGCTCACATGAGTTCAGAATCTGGACTCAAACTTGAGTCTTTCTGACTCCAGACTCCACACGGCATTTCACCATAATGCCATCCTCAAAGAACTGACTTCTCTCCTTATGAGCAGAAGTCTCCCCCTTTTAATATACAATATGCTCTCAAGCTTCTTAGAGCCACGTGACTTTCCATGTTGAGCGCATCTTAGAACAAGGACAGTGCACAATCTGCTCATCTCTGCTTCACACAGGGGCTGGAAAATAGGGGGAACACTAAAACCACACATTTCATGACTTAAGTAACAAAAGCCCCACAATTAGCTCTGGGAACGAAAAATAAACAAAAGCCTACACTTTGGCCCCACCATGAACCAGATTAAAGACAGCAGTCTCTGTTCAATGAGCAGATCACCAGGTCCCAGGAGAGCAGAGGACAGGAATAGGGATACAGTCTTACCAGATGGCAGAAGCCAAGAGAGCAAAGAGGTCAAGACTTTTCTTTCCATGAACACTTTTTAAAGAAAAACATCCAAGGAAAAAGTTCTTGAAAACAGAGTCTGCACAACAACCGTAAGTAGCAGAACTCCCACACACTGCCTCAAGGACAGGCTTGAAAACCTCACAGAACCCTGCCAAGGTCCCACTTGGTGGAGGACAGGTTCTAGTAAAGAGGGAACAGCTCTCTGGCTCCCTCACAGACCCCCTATTTCAGGCACCTCCTCTCCCCACTCATAAAATCGCTTCCCCCATCACCCCACCCCCCCACACAAAGGGTGTGCATACACGATGGGGTGAGGCGCCAAGAAGCAAACTGGCATCTACTGAAGACGTATTCAGGAGCAGATCCTGAGCCTGATATGTAACGTACTTCTCAAAGCTCAAAACATCTGCATGAGGACTGCACAGTTAACAGTCATTACTAAATAGCAAACTCCTGCCTATGGCCCAAGGCCCTCCATGATCCAGCTCCTACCCACTGTCCAATTTCATCTCATGCTAACTTCCCCATCACTTCCTGAGCTCACACCACACATATTTTTCAGGTCCTTGAACCCACCAAGCTCTTTCTCATACCCCAGGGCCTTTGTACATGTTATTCTACCTTCCTGGAACATTCTTCTGCCTGGTAGCATCCTTCTGGTCTCAGTTTAAATCCAGTATCCTGAGAGGCCTTTCCAGACCATTTTAAGGCAGACCTCACTGTAGCTCCTCTAGTTCAGCAGTCTGCTGTCATGCATGGATGCAGTTGTTGGAAGTGTTATATTTATTTGATGGTGTACTTTATTTTTCTGGCTTCCCTGGTCATTAACAGCTCCTTGAGGGTAGGAACCTGTCTGTCTCGTTCATTGTGGTATCCTTGGCAGATAGCACAATGCCACAACTCTCATTTAGACAGAGGCAACTGGGAAGCTTCTCTGAAGTCAAGCTCACAAGCCACAGAGCCAAGACTTAGAACCAGGCCTGACTCCTAAGCCTGTGCAACCTGCACGGGGCCTGGAGATGCGCTTAACATCAGCTTCTCCCCTTCACACCTCATGCACCCCAGCCCATAGGCCCACCTTCTCAGCAACAGGGCCAGGACCAGGAGATAAACGTGAATACCAAGGAACTTGTAATCAAGATAGGTACCATATTTAAAAAACAAAAATTCATGCCAAAAAAAAAAAAAATTCATGCACAAAATATCAAAATTTTAAATAGGATCCAGCCCAGTCCTTGCAATGACTCAGCCTCATCACCTTACCCTAATTTTGGCCCCTCAGATCCAGTCTTACTTTAAGTAGCTGCTAATCTGATCATTATGAATATTTTCTATTTTTATTTTAAAATATTGCATTAGAATATTATTTCTCTTGAGTACTGAATTTTTTTTGGCACCGCCCCTCCCCCCCATTAAATTTGGTGCCCAAGGCAAATGCCACATTTGTCCCCATGAGTCTTAGCCATGCTCAGCCTGAGGCCACCTGCATACCCAGAATGCCACACCCCTCATGGTGAAGACTGGGAGCTGGGCTCTAGGGGCTCCAACACCATGGACCACACTTAGGATTGTCCACTCACTGCTGTCATTCCAGACATTGGGGAGAACATGCCCACCTCAGGGCCTGTGACTCCTCTCTCCCTCCTGTCTGGCTCCACTGGGGAAGATGTGAGCTGTTCTTTGGCACCCAGATGCTGTTCCCCACAACAGGCTGAGAGCTAGGCCTCCCTCCCCTGTCTCGAGGCCAGCTAGCTTTTGCTACCCTTCCCTTCTGCAGCTGGGAGGGGGGAGAAGAAGAGAGGCACATGGATCCCACCTTGGAGACTGCTGTTCTGGGAGAACAGAGGCCAATGCATAGAGTGTATGCTGTTTGCCCATCCAGCACCCACACCCTCTCTGGCAACAGCATCTCAAATGCCCCTGAGCCTTAGCTGGGATTGCTAAGCTGGGAGGATGTGTAGGAAGTGGCTGAGGCCACATGGAGAGGGCCTGCAGGGAGCCACGTCAGCAGAGAGGGAAGCAGGGAGGGCAGAGTGGCTCCTAATGGCGCAGCTGGCATGTGTAGAGCCAGAAAAACAGAGCCAGAAGCATATGAGCTTTTCAGGTGTAGCAGCTCCCCAATATTCCCTGTTGCTATGGTGGAGTTGCGCTGGGATTTGAAATACTTGTGACCTAGAGGGTCCTAGTACTTCAAGTATACCTCCTTCTTCATCAGTTTGAGCTGCTCCTGGAACCTGGTATACTCTCGATCCTGCTCCAGGCGGATCCGCTTGGTCTCCTCCCGGCGGCGCACAGCGTGGTCCTGCTCCATCTTCTCCACCTGCTGCTTCTGCTGACGCTCCAGGTTCTCCAGCTCCGTGTCAAAGAACTTCTTCTTGGCCTGGACGGAGCACAAAGAGAAATTCAGCAAAGTTACTTTATACCTGGGTGGGAGATGGGGAGCAGAATGGAGAGCCCAGCTTGTGCTTTGACTCCCCACTCCCAGATCTACCATCTCTTTCCTGTGACACCTGGGAAAAGTTACTTGACCTCACTCAGTCTGTGTCCTCATGAACAGAAGGGAGACCAGATCATCTACCTTGCAGACTTGTTGCATGGTGCTCCACAAAGGTGACTTCCCTCTAGAGACCCTCCTGTGTCACTTAGAGGACCACCCTGACCCTCATGCAGTTCTGTATTTACAAGTCACTGTAAATTGACTAACGCAATTGGGAAACCAGAAGAACTAGGCAGTTGTGGCAACTTTCTCCCCACTGCCCATCATCCCCACTCGGCACATTCTGCCTAAAGAAACAAGCAGGCAGGAAGCACAGTGGAGCTATCCATCTCACACTCACGTTGATTTCTTGTTCAAAACGTTTTTGCATCTGCTCCAACTGCAGTTCATGCTTGTTGCTCAGCTGAGTCTGGTTCCGATGCTCTTCTTTCTGAAGCAGTCGAAGCTCTCGGAGTTCCTGGCGCCTGAGGGGTGAAAGGTTGTGGGTATTTCAGTTAGAGAGCAGCCTACAAGACCAGCTATTTTGCAGCTAGTGACTTGGAAGGCTGTCCCGGGTAGACACATAACTAGAACTCAAGACTTCATTTGACACTATTGACAAAAAAACATTAATAACCTTAACATAAAAAGAATACTTACAAATCACTAAAAATCATCCTAGTTTTAATTATTTTTAAAGGTTTATTTTATTTACTTATGCATACAAGAGCTGGGGTATAGGCAAGAGGTGCAGGAATGCAGTGAGAGGATTCACCAGAGACAGAGTGGGGAGCAGAACAGGCAGACAGACCGAAAACACTGCTGAGGGGAGCAGCGGGCGAGACAGGAGAGGTCTGCTGTGCCATGTGGGTAGCTCCCTGGCCGGGGATCCAACTAGTGCTGCAGTGGCCACACATGCCCCACAGTGCAGACACTTAACCCCACGTGCCACCAGGGAGGCCCCCAAAAATATCCTAATTTTAAAGAGTGACACAGAACATGGGCAGCCATGAAACCAAAGACAAAAAGATAGCATTTCCTCCAACTAAATAAGTAAGAGTATTAGAAAACGGATACTTTTATATACTGCTGACAGATATAAATTGGTACATGTCTGGAAGACAATTTGTCAAGAACTTTATGCCTTTGACACAGTAGTTCCACTTCTGGATGTTGATTCTTAAGAAACCGTCATAGAGGCACAACTTAGCCGAATAAGGATAATCATAACAATGTTATTTATAATAGCACAAACTGGAAACATCTTAAATGTCCATCGGCATAGGTCTTCTTAAATGTCCCTCTGATGGAATTCAACAAAATCATTTAAAAATCAAACTTTAGGAAATATTACATGGAAAAAATACAATGCATTAATGGAATCTAAGTGAAAAGGCTGAAAAACAAGTCTATTATATTTCCCTACTGCCTGGGTGAAAAATAAAAAGACAGTATATGTATGTGAACACAAGTATGTGAGAGTCTACTTTCCTATCTAAACATAGCTTCTGGAAGGATTACACCCTAACTTATTAACACAAGGAGGACTAGAGGGCTGGCCAAAAAGTAAGGGAAGAGATTTTTCACCATTTATCCTTCTTTATAAAAAAAATTTTTTTAAAGATTTATTTATTTATGCATATAAGAACTTGGGTACAGGCCAGAGGTGGGGGTGAGAGGATTCACCAGAGACAGAGTGGGGAACAGAACAGGTGGATTGACTGAAATACACTGCTGAGGGGAGCAGTGGGCGAGACAGGAGAGGTCTGCTGCGCCATGTGGGTCACTTTCCTGGCCAGGGATCGAACTCATGCTGCAGTGGCTGGGAATAGCTTCACAGTGCTGCGTCTTAACCCCTTGCACCACCAGGGAGGCCCTATAAAAAATTCTGAACCAGGGCCTCCGTGGTGGTACAAGGGGTTAAGACTATGAAGCTATCAGCAGACATTGCAACACAGGAAGCCTACACCCTAGCTCTTGTATGCATAAATACTTTAAAAATAAAAATTTTTTTGAACCATATTATTTTACTTATTCAAAACATAGTAACAAAACATGACCTACACCACATAGTATACCTTAACCTGATTTATTCTGTCAATGTGCATATGTGCATGTGTGTGTATGTTAGTACTCACAGAAAAAATAATGGTGGGATAAACCCCAAAGTGAATTGTTTCTCACTGGACAAGTTCATGAAAAATGGATAGGTATTATTTATATAATCAGAAAAGGAAAACAAATTTAAATGCTGCAGAAAGACCTTGGCCTCCTGACTGTGAATTGGAAGGTACTGGGGCAGCCCCTAAGATATGGGAGTCCACAAAGCCTATGTCACAGTCCAGTCCAGAGTCCAGCAGCCTGCCAGCAGCTGCTGGAGAAGAGGTGGGCCCACTCTCCACTGTCACACGAAGCTAGCCTGAATCTTAGCTCTGCTGACTTTCCAGTCAGGTGCCCATCTGCAAAATAGGGCAAAGAATTCTACTGCTCCGATTCTTTCATGGATACATAAATCCCTGGGTACATAATCCTGCCTGGCACATGGGAAGGGCCCCCTAAGCAGTACCTGCTCCCATGAAAAAGAGGCAATAGCGGCCCAAGTCTCTAGGAAGAGCCAGATACTTTTTATAAGCACATAAAGGAGCTTCCACTGAATCTCTGCTCTTTGGTAAGTAGGAAGGGAAAGCAGTTTTCTTAAGATTTATTTTTATTTGGGCATCCCTGGTGGTAAAATCTCAACACTATCAAGCTATCCACAATCCCCAGCCAGGGTGAAACCCACATGGCACAGCAGACCCCTCCTGTCTCGCCCACTGCTCCTCTCAGCAGTGTATTTCAGTAGATCTACCTGTTCTGCTCCCCACTCTTTTCTGGTGAAGCCTCTCACCCCCCTCCCCCATACCTCTGGCCTGTACCCCAGTTCTTGTATGCATAAATAAATAAATCTTTAAAAAATTTATTTTTATTTATTTGTGCATATAAGAATTTGGGTATATTCCAAAGGTACGGGGCTGGGGTGGGGGAAGGGTTAGAGGATTCATCAGAGACAGAGTGGGGAGCAGAACAGGTAGTTTACTGAAATACACTCCTAAGGGGAGCAGTGGCTGAGACAGGAAAGGTCTGCTGTGCCATGTGGGTTAGCTCCCTGGCCAGGGATTGATCTTAGGCCATCTTGGTGATAGTGCTAAGATTTAACTCCTGTGCCACCAGGCAGGCCCCAGAAGCAGCAATTTTCGAGAGTTAACAAATGGAAATTCTGACTCAAGAGAAAGTAAGGCTTAGTGACTGACACACACACAAAAGGGAATACAGAAAGAAAGTAGGCAGGCAGAGCCGAACATTGCCTCCCTGACCTAACATGAGTTCTCACAGGGAACACAGGCAAAGGAGCAGGCTGATGTCTCAGGAAGGAGCTGACACCAAAAATTTTAGGAAAAAAGAGAAGGAATTCTGACCTAGAAACTTCCATCTGGAAGAGTCACTATTTGGTCACGTGGTTTCAAAAGCCTACATGTGACTCAATGCTCCAAAAATTCTGGGATCCCAGTAGGACCAGGGATGTGGGCCAGGGTGGGAATGAGCAGAACCCCCACTCCCTGCATCCCACGCCCACAGAGCCTGGGGCCTGGCAGGCTCACAGGACACTCAGACCTCCAGCCCCCACAGGCAGACAAGCAAAGTCTTATTCTTTTTACCCTCCTCTTGGGCAAGAGTTTATTGGAGATGAGGGCAGTGTCAAAGTATCTCCCCACTGGGCACTTATTAATGTCTTTGTTTTTCTCTCCCTCCCCCTCCTATCCTCTGTATCTCCTTTTCCCTGGTCGCTCCCTGCTCCCTTTAACTTCGGAGTCCTCAGGATGTTTATTGGTGTCCACTGGCTTTTGAATGTAATTTACTTCATCCAACGTTCTCCTGTGTAAGTGGCCAGAATTTGTTTCTATTGTTCTGACTTCCTGCCTACAAAAATTTGCTCAAACTCCCCCCCGATTTGCTGCAAAAGGCTGCAGCTCATCTTTCCTTACAGCTGCATAGTACTCCACAGTGCAGCTAGAGCACATCTGACCCAACTGTCTGTCAGTGAACATTTAGGCTGCACCCACATGTAGCTAATGTAGTGATGGGCTACAGAAACATAGAAACGATCCCTGAACATATAGTCTTCTAGCTATTTTAAATAAAGCTGCTCTGCACGTTGTGGAATGCATGCCTTTTTGTGTTAATGGTTTTACATTCTTTGGCTAGATGCCCAAGAATGGGACCACCGGATCATACAGCATTTCCATTTCTAGTTCTCTTTATGGTAAATCCAGATTGTTCTCCATAATGGCTGCATTGGTTTATGTTCCTATCAAGAAAAACCCTGTTCTTGGTGAACACCTCCCTCTTCTCCATGTGGCCAAGAGTCACGGTTCAAACACAGCTAAGCTCTGCTTTAGGAGGAGGGAGGAAGCCCAGTGCCTGGGCAAAGGGCAGCACTGCCTCGCCCGCTACTCCCCTCAGCAGTGTATTTCAGTCAGTCTGCCTGTTCTCCGCTCTGTCTCTGGTGAATCCTCTCACACAACCCCACCCCCACACCTCTGGCCTGTACCCCAGTTCTTGTATGCATAAATAAATCTTTAAAAAGACATATGAAGGTGACTGATGGTCTAAAAACATTCTCCAAACCAGTAATGAATTTAGTCTGCAAAGCAGCTCTATGGCCCCCACCTCCAGGAAGCATCCCAGCCCAGTGGAAGCCTCCTGTAGGCAATTCCTTCTCACCCAGGGTGAGTAACTTGCTGCCAGGAAACACTGGATCCTCATTTACAAAATGCTGGAAGTATGGTGTCCCCAAGAGGGGTGCTTATGGGGCCTGAAGTACTTCATACTTTGAAGTACAAAGGTCACTTCTAACGGATAGCTTTGCCTCACACCATCATCCCCTCAACATCCCTCCCCAGCCTCAAAAGTTTTGTCCCCAAAATAGATTGAATGCAACCACTTCTTCCCTCGCCCTGGCCACTGACCCAAGCCCACAGCGCAGCTGTCCTGAACGGTCCTCCCACATTCTCCCTGCGTCACCCTCACCCCTGCTACAGCCCAGACTCTTACAGAGCCAGAGCCATCTTTCAAAAGGGACATCAGAGCCAGTCACTCTCCAGCTGTTTCTCTCCAGCCGTGGATAAACTCCACGCGCATCCACCCTGTCCCACAAGCCCTCGTGACCTGAGCTTGTGAACCACACCCCTGCCCTCTCCCTCTGACCTGACACTCCACACTCAGCCCTGTCCTCTCACTTCTAAGAACTCGTCTCATGTCTTGGTCTTGCAGGGCCCTCTAAGTTTTGCTGGGTCCTCTCACCCTCAGGCTCAGCTCAGGGGTTTCCCCCCCCAGGGCTGATGCCCACTATCATTACCACCCAGTACTTTCTTCACAGCAGGTACCACAACTGGGAATTGTCCTGTATATTCTGTGTTAACCCATCAGGTCTCAGATGTCCAAAGGTAGCAGCCTTACTGTCTGGGCATCCACCCACCTGGGGACGTGGGTGATGCATGAGGGGATGGTAGATGGATAAATGGACACCTGGGCAAACAGCTGCGGGGAAGGATGAATAGAAGGATGGATGGAGGAAAGGATGGGCAGGTGTGTGTGTGTGTGTGTGTGTGTGTGTGTGTGTGTGTGTGTGTGAGAGAGAGAGAGAGAGAGAGAGAGAGAGAGGGAGGATAAATGTATGGGTGGGGAGGTGAGTAGATGGATGGATGGATGGATGGATGGATGGATGGATGGATGGATGGATGGATAAGTAGATGGATAGGTTGGCAAGTGCAGATTCTCAAGAAAAACTACTTTCCTCTTGTCTCCTTTGTCTCCTTGATCCCTTGTCATGCTATACACAGACTGACATCTCTTTCTCCAAAAAAACAACCTTTCTCCAAAAAACTATGCCCAGGCCTCGCACCACACTCCCATACCATTAGCCCCATAGCCACCCTTCCTGGACTTACCTGAGAAATCTCATCTCCTCGTCCTTCTTCTCATCCTCGCTGATGATCTTGGAGGTGGTGATGCTCACCTCTACGCCGTCCACCACAAACTTGCGTGTCCTCTTGAGGGTTTTTTTGTACAACTTTGAGTCCTAGCCGGGGAAATCATTAGGTAAAGCTCAGCATTTCAGCTAAGAATTCATGGGTGACCGGCCCACAGCCCTCCTGGTCCCTTAGCCTCAGTCCCACCCAGGTAGGACACGGCTGTCCATCCCTCTCAGGTTCCTCAACCTGGGGGCTGAGTATCTGCCTTTCTTCCCCTGAGTATCCCCTTTCTTCCCCCTGACCTCAGCCTTCAGACACTGCCCTGTGGCCTTCCCCACCCGGCTGCCAGCAGGCATGTATACATGGGACGTGGCACTAGGAAGAGCTGGGTTCTGATCCTCCATCACCTCCTGGCTCCCTGACCCTGGGTGAGTCTCATCTTTCTCAAGCCTCAGCTTCCTCAATAGCCAGAGGAGGGAAATAGCAAGGTGATTAGAAGGAGTCCATGAGAGAACAGGTGGGCGCCCACAACCCAGCACATGCTCGTGGCCCATGTTCAGCACTCACTCTATTTCTGACAGTTATGACTGCAGCCCAATCTCACCCACAAAACCCCAACCCAAAGAGCCCAGAAAACCAAAGTTTTTAACCAATTTGGCAGCCAAACCTGATCTGACCCAAACTTCCCTGGAGGGGAGGCCATACCCATCTGGAGTTGCCATGAGTTTATTCTAGATATCTCTCTTTTCCTGTGACTAACCATGCATTTCACATGCACTTGCTTGCAGAGAACTGCCAGGATACTGGGAGGAGTTCAAATACCCTTGGAGGCCTACAGGCCTGCTCAGACCTCCAGCCCCAGACAGGAGAAGGAATGCTCTGGGCAACAGGTCTCTGCCCTCAAAATCTGTACTGACCCCCTCCACTCCTGCCAGTGGAGACAAGTGCACACAGTTCTTGCTCCAAGGGCTCAGCTCCCCTCTCCTGCATGTCCGGCCTCCTCATGACACCTTGCCCAGAGATCTGGATGCTGTCTGCCCTGAAAGGCCACACCCAGCTACCTTCAGCATTCAGGTCTCATGTCCGAGGACTCAATTCCAGATGAGTCAGAGAGTGACCTAGGCCACAGCCCTCAAACTGTATGGTCATGGGGCGGCCCATCCCTGAGGTAACAGGCTCCTCCTCACACCAAGGGGTGCTGATGCAGCAGGGAGTCTTATCAGAATAGCCCTGCTCTCTGACTCATTGCCAGTGAGTCAGCAAAGGAATGTTCTCAACAGCCTCTAAGATGCAGGGGAGACCCTCCCAACTTTTTCTTCTTTTTGTTAACAGTTTTATTTTTCCCCTTTTGTTTTTAAGGTAGTAAAGGGTTTATTTAATTTTTTAATAGAGGCATGTTTTATTTATTTATTTATTTGTTTGTTTGTTTCGTTTATACATGCACTGGGTACAGTCAGAAGCGCGGGAGGGTGAGAGAATTCACCAGAGCCAGAGCGGGGAGCAGAGCAGGCAGAAGGACCGAAGTACACTGCTGAGGGGAGCAGCGGGCGGCAGGAGAGGTCTGCGCGCCATGTGGGACCCTCCTCTGGTGGCCGGGGAGCAGCCAGGGATCGAACCGGTGCCGCAGAGGCTGCGGGCAGCTTCACAACCCAGCGCTCACCACTGCGCCACCGGGAAGGCCAGTAAAGGGTTTATTATCTCACACAGAAGAGAAGGGATAAGACCACAGGGCTGATGATGGGCCCGATGATGCTTACACATAAAAGCCACTGTCTTCACGGGCCTCCCTTGTGGCACAAGGAGTTAAGCACAGCACTATGAAGCTATCCTCAGCCACTGTAGCACAAGTTTGATCCCCGGCTGGCCAGGGAGCTACCCACATGGTGCAGCAGACCTCTCCTGCCTCGCCCTGCTGCTCCCCTCAGCAGTGTCTTTGGTCCATCTGCCTGTTCTGCTCCCCGCTCTGTCTCTGGTGAATCCTCTCACCCTCCTGTGCCTCTGACCTGTACCCCAGTTCTTGTATAAATAAATAAATCTTTTTAAAAAAGCCACTGTCTTCACTTGACCCATTAGAACTCTCCAGTGTTTTCTCTCTGTTCCTAAAGCTACTACTGGGCTAGCCGGCTGCATCTCTTTCTTTTGCTCCCTTTCATTTTGTAAATATCTTTGAGTCTCTACTAAATAATGGAAGAAAAGCAAGATACAGTATACCATCCCCCTCCCCCCATCAACCTTGGCTGGGGGTTGGAGCTCTCCGTGTAGCCAGTCAAGTACCACCATGAGTTCAAGAACATCCCATGACTTATCGGAATGGACAGGGAAGAGTAGGCTACCTGTGGAGAAGGAGGTCATGGCTCCCACCCAGAAGGCAGAGTGGCTGGGGGGGTTCAGAGCAGTTGGGTCAACCAGCTCCCTGCTTCCCAGCTAACCCGCTGCTCATCTTGGTATGATGCAGAAGCTTCCTTTGTTTTCCTAAAGCTTTCTGCAGCACTGCCTGTGTTGAGCACAGGGGTCACAAAGTCCCCACCTTCAGAAAGGCCACTGAGCCAGCAGGGGGCTTGAAGCCCACTCCCTTACTTAATTCCACCCCTCACCAGCTGGACCAACTGGCTGAATCCCACAGAAGAGAACTTTCACTTCTAGAATTCCGTCTCCCAAATTCTACCAGGGCCTTCAGCCAAGCCCAATTTACATGAAAACCCAAATTGAAATTTAAGCCCAACCCAGTGCTTGACACGCTGAACCCTACACTGAACTCAAGATTAAATTGAACTAAAAGCAATTAAAGAAAGAAAAATCCTAGTGAACCACTTAAAATGTGACAGGGAGCCACAAAATGCTCTGAAGAAACAAAACACTCCTGCCCCAAGCCTGTGTCACCAGGAGTGGCGTTACCTTGATGGACAGGGAGCCTGTCTCCTTGTTCAGGGACAGGTCAGCTGACAGGGAGGTGCTGTAGTCCATGCTCTCGGAGGTGGAGAGGTTGCCACAATCTGAGTTCCTCTTAGAAGGTTCTGCAGCAGACTGGGCAGGGAGTTCCAGGCTGCCATTGGACAGCTTTTCACTGCTCAAGGTTTCCAGGGCGCTGCTGTTGGGTCGGCTTTGGCTTGCCTTTTGGGGCCTGATGGCTGCTGGAGTGAGGTCCCCACCCTGGTCAATGAGTTGCTTCTCCGGAGTGACCTGAATTCTGGCATCCATTGACAGGGGTCGGGACCTCCGGATGGGCGCAGGCACCACAGGGCCATTCTCATTTGCAGGAGCCACAGCTGGGGGGCTGGTGGTTTGGAGGGCTCTATCCCCAGAGGGCTGGCTAGGCCCATTCACACTGGTCTGAGGCTGGCTGGGTGGCTGCGGAGTGGAAGATGATTCCTTGTCTGTGTTGAGGCTCAGCTGACTCACCTCAGAGGAGTTGTGAGTATGGTTCTCGAGAGGCTAGGGGAATAAAGATAGTCAATACCATGCTGCTGTATGTCCAGGACAAGAGTTAGAGGTGGAGGGGGGGTTGGAAAAACCCACAAGATGAAGTGGTTTGGGGACAGGGAAGTGAAGTAGTTATCATTCTCTAATAAGCCACAGTCCTTCCCATTCCCTATTGCCTAACAATAAAATTACTATTTTGAAGAACAGGTGTCATCTGATTGTCTCTAATCTTAGTTTAACTTAATACTTGTGGTTCCTCCTACAGTGAAGGCAACAATGGCCAGCTGAACAAGCTCATTCTGTCTAAAGTGGATAGTGGCCGCTCTGCTCCAACCACTTGCCACAATGTGGGGACATGGACACCTGTGGCCAAACCTTTGAAATTTTCCTAAAAAGCTGGAATCTGGATTTTTACATGTTATCTTCCAGCTTTTAGATTACAACTGACGGAAATTTTTTAAAAGGTTGGACCAAATCTATCCAGGGGCTGGATACAGCCAATCACCACCAAATACTTTAAGTTTTGTGTGTGTGTGTGTGTGTGTGTGTGTGTGTGTTTTTAGAACTTGTGGCAAGCAGTAAGTACTGGAAATATTGTTATTATAAAACAGAGCACCAATTTTTGTGAATAAAAGTTAAATACCCAGCTTACAAATAAAGTAAGCATCCATAATGCCACCTTCCAGGTCAGGAGTAAGGCACTGCCAAGCCCCACAGAACTGCCTGTGTCCATCCCTCCCCTTGACGAAATTCTTGCCCTGATTTCAGTTTCGAGTGCTATAGGTTAGTCTCCCTGTTTTAAAACCTGGTATTAATGGCAACCATAAACACTCCCTTAGCTCTTGATGGCTGCTGGTTTTTGATATGGAAGCTTCCAGAAGCAAGTCTAATCTACCTTCTCTCCAATATCCAGAGCAATGGCTCAAAACTTCAGATCTGATTCTGCTGTTCCCACACCAATGCCCAGTCCTAGCCTAGGATCATCAGTATCCCCCACTGTTCTCATGATAAAGAACAGCCCATGAAGAACAAGGCTGAGTATTACCAATTCTGCCTTCCTCCTCAAAATGGCTACTGGCTGCCACCTAGCCCCCACACACTGCCTCCCTCTCCTATCACATTTGTTTTCCACCCAGCCCTGCTGCCTGGGCAGCTCAGCTGGCCACTTCACTGGTGAACCAATGATCTCCCATCTGTAGAATGGAGCTTGGCCCTCTGACTGACTGCAGGGTGCCTGGCACTCAGCAGGGCACAGTAAATGGCTGTGGTGACTGTAAAGATTCCAGCTGCCCTCCTTAGCGTAGGAGAGCCCTTCTTCATCCTGGTGAGGATTCACATCAGCCATCAGCTCCTCCCAGACTGAATGAAACTCAAGAAATCACTGTATTGTCCCTAGCCCGGGCCCTGCCTCACAAGGACAGTGGCAGCATCCATATGGCCAGTCACCCCTGCTGGACCAGGCCTCCCCAGACAGCTTGACCTGGCAGCTGGCAGCAGCAGCTCAGAACAGAATCCAGCCCAAATGGTCCTGCTTGGCTCAAATGGTTTTTCATTTGAAAACCATTTCATTTTCACTTAAATTTAAGCTAGATTAAATTTAAATTCAACCAAGTGCTAAAGCACAGATGGGCAGGTAATAAATGTGCCAAGACATGAGGCAGCCTGAGCCCCCTGGCTACTGCCTCTGATCACCTGCAACGTTTATCTGCTCTAGACCACAGCGTGTTACAAGTATTCTCTTTTTGTAGGGAAAAGATTGGGAAACGATTAATCGGCTACCAACTCTCAAAATTGGAAGATGTCATATGAAAATCTAGATTCCTGATCTTTCCTAAAAACTTACAGGATCTGGTCTACACATCCATGTGGTGTTACCTAACCCGTGACATGGGAGACTGAAGCCGCCAAGCTTGGGAGGAACAGAAGGGTGCCCTGACCTCTCCCCCGCCACCCTCCCACACACACCAGCCGAGGCTGGCTGAGCTTCTGTGCCTCCCCAGGGCCCGTTCCTCCCCGGCCTTACCGGGGCAGCATCCACAGAGTCTTCCTCTTCCCCTTCATCCCGGCCGTCTTCGATCTCCTCCATCACTTCAGCCTTGGCCTCAGCCACCAGCTCCCGCAGAGCCTTGTTACTGGTGACACTGCTGACGAAGGGATGCTGAGGGGACAAGACACACCTGGATTAGAACCACTTTGGGCTGGGGAGGGGGTGAGGCAGGCAAAGGCTAGGGAGGCGGTCACCCAGACAGCGAGGGCCAGCAGCTTGCCTGAGGGAAATGTGAACATGAATGTGATACCTGGGAGGTCGAGAAGCAGCTGAGAAAGCCCTGGCCATGGCGGAAACAGGGCAATGCTGGCTCTGCCACGTAACAGCTGTGGGACAATGAGCACATCCTTTCCCTCTCGGAGCTGCAAATTCCTCATCTCTGCAGTGTCATCACCACCAACCCCACAGGGAGGGCACAAGGTTTCAGGGAGATGCTGCATGTGAAAGTGTTAAGCCCAAAGTAGGAACCCCAATAGCGTTTGGGGGGGGGGTCACCTGTTCCTTTTCTTTTTGAAAAAGATTTTAATATATTGTTTAAAATTATATACACTATGTAGACTTTGTAAATTTAAGGTTCACAAAGCACTAAGCCAATGACTTTCTCCACACAGCTATGCAAACACGTAAGTACACATATATGTTCCCTACATGTAACCACCACCAAGCTCCAGACATAGAATGGTTCTACCACCTGGGAAGGATCTCAGCCTCCTCTTGCACTTAACCCCACTCCTGTAGGTGCCTAAGGCTAGAGTCTAGTTCTGCCTGTTACTTCACTTCCCATGAGCAGAAACATACAGAATGTCATCTTTCGTGGTTGAGTTGAATGGAAACCACAGGATTCACCTTCACTGTTGGGCACTTCATTTAATTTGTTCCTTTTTTATTCCTCCGCAGTACAACTGCATGAATGTGTCCCTTTGTTGATTTATCCTGCTGCTGATGGACATTTGGGTTGTGTTCCTCCTTGCTCTGGCAACTATGAATCTAGTTGCGTGAACACATTCAAACATATTCGGGTCAATGTTGTTTGCCAAATCTTCAAGGCAGAGATGTGTACATTCTCTTCCTAGGCATTGCCTAGAAGGATTATTTTTAAAAGGGAAAGTTATTCACAAATGTTGCAAAACACCAAAGATTTGAAGGCCACTGCAAATGTTAAATCAGCAAGAACATCTCCCTGGGGAAGGCCTGTCCCTCAGTGACTTATCCTTGGCACCAGCGAGCAGAGAGGGATGTGAGATGCCTCAACTCACCCAGAGCTGCTTAGAAGGGTCACTGGAGGACGGGGGTGGGTGGTGTTATTAAATTGAAACGAGCTCATTTGAAATTTATAGGAAAGTTCTGATGACATTCAGGTTTTGTTTTTTTTTAATGGGAGGCCCGACATTCAGTTTTTACTATCAGAAAATACACAGTGGAGGGGATTTCCCTGGTGGCATAAGGGGTTAAGTCTCAGCACTATAAAGCTATCAGCAACCACTGCAGCACAAGTTCTATCCCCAGCCAAGGAGCTAACCACATGGCGCAGCAGACCTCTCCTGTCTCGCCCACTGCTCCCTCAGCAGTGTATTTCAATAGATCTGCCTGTTCTGCTCCCCACTCTGTCTCTGGTGAATCCTCTTACCTCTGGTCTGCACCCCAGATCTTGCATGTATAAATAAATAAATCTTTTTAAAAAAGAAAATATACAGTGGAGCAACTGGTGTCTACAAGATTGCAAGGAAGTATTTAAAGGACTAAAGAGAATAACTTTTCCAGCATGTTGGAAACACAGTCACAACCGGTGGTAGGTTCACTGCAGATCATTCTTAGCTGCTTGTTCATCTCAAACAGCTCACTTGTGGGAGGAGGAGAGGAGCCAACACCTCCTCTTACCTAACTTACTAGAATATGCCTTACTCATCTTAAAGAGCCTGTCATTTGGATTTCCTAAGTCTGACTTCACCCAGCTAGTCCAAATTATCTGATTTTTTTCCTTCCTTTTTACAACCACTCCATTTATGGGTTGACCCCATAGTCACACATTGAGACCAACCTGTGCCAGGAGCTGAAATAAGGCTGAATAACAAGACAGGCAGAGTCCCTGTCCTGGGGGTTGGAGCCAAGTGGAGGAGACAACACATACATGACCACATTCAGAGAAGCCTTCAAGGCATCTGTTTGAGACACCCCCACCCCCAGCCATTCCTACTCCTCCTGCACCCCCCAGAGTGTAGCATTTTGGAACGGAGGGTGAAAACCAGATCCCCAGGTTCTTGAGCTTCATGTTGTGCAACCACACACATGTGAACTTGAGCAAGAAGCCACAGGACACTCTGCTGCAGTGTCTGAAGCAGATGTGGCAGAAATAAATAATGCAGGCACAGGCTTCTGGAAATACCAGGTTTTCATTGGGGCAGACCACATATTGACCGAATTAGCGCTCTGCAGCATGGCCAGGAGCCTAACTTCCCTGCGGCTGTGCATCTGCTCCACTGCCTCCCCTGAGCACCCTGGAGGCCTCAGTGGGCAGAGGGAGATGCCATGGGGAAGAACAGAAAGTCTTTGATGGGAGTGGCAGTGAGCAGGCTAGTTCCCCTGAACCCCAAGATCCTGGGGCCACTAGGCCCCAGGGTAAACAGGCTGGCAGCTTCTGTGGCCGATTAGGCACAGAACACTGTTTTATAAATTGTTTTGAGGCACAAAGCACAGTCCACCTGCCCCCTTCGGGAGTGTGTTTAAGAGAAGACATTTTCCTAAACCCCAAACTTCCAGCCCACCTTCAACATCACCTCCAGCCCTGTGCACAGGCACAGGGTCTTCCCTGTATGTCTGCCAGAGACCAGGCTGTTCTGGGAACACAGGCCCCAGAAAGGCCAGGTCAGGGGGGGACCCAACTGTTAGCTTGTCAGGAAGAGGAACAATTGTTTAGTGCCTGCTCTGCCGAGAGCCGGAGAAGCCATCAGCTGGCCAACTGGCACCTGCTGCCCTCTGGCCAGGGCCCCTCCAGCCACCTACACAGACATCCTTTCCAACAATTTAAGCCTATTTTCCCTCCGTGGGCTTAGAAACCATCAGCAGGGGAGGCCCACATTCTGAGGCTGCTTTTAGAAAATGCCTAATAACTAACACTTTCAAATTTTTCGGCGTCATCTTTTTTTCGATCCTCTCTCCCTCCTTCCCTTCTCGCTCTTTCATTCCTTCGTCTCCCTCTTCATTCAGAGGCAGTTTACCACTAGCAGGAATGTGGGGAAAAAGGCCTCTGAATGTCAAGAAAACCAGCCTTCAACCCAAGCTGTGTGACTTTGTGCAGGCTACTTAATCTCCCTGCCTCAGATTTATCATCTGCTCAGTGGAGATCAGACTAGGACCTACTTCACAGGGATGTTATGAGGATGAAATGAGTTAACATTTTCTAGACATTTAGAATAGAACCTGAGGCCTCCCTGGTGGCGCAAGGGGTTAAATCTCAGCACTATGAGGCTATCGTCAGCCACTGCAGCACAAGTTCAATCCCAAGCCAGGGAGCTACCCACATGGCTCAGCAGACCTCTCCTGACTCCCTCAGCAGTGTATTTTAGTAGATCTGCCTGTTCTGTTCCCTACTCTGTCTCTGGTGAATCCTCTCACCAACCGCACCTCTGGCCTACACCCTAGCTCTTGTATGCATAAACAAATAAATCTTAAAAAAAAATAAAATAGAACCTGACATGGAGAGAGGGTTACATAACAGTTTGTCAACTGAAAATAAGTAAATATAGTCAAAAATACTTGCCATGGCCCCCGACATACCAGACACTGTGCTGGAGGCGTGCGACACATCAATGAAGAAAACCCACAAATGCTTCTGGCCTTAGGCAGCTGACACACTCATCAGGGAGCGCAACAATAAACTTAAGCAATAAATTTATACACCACCACACTACGTGCCATGGAAAAATAAGAAGTCGAGTAGAGAAAGGAGAATTAGGAATGTGGAGGAGCTGGAGGCTCACAGTCTTAAGTAGGGTGGTCAGTGGGAGGCCTCACTGAGAAGTTGCCATTTAAGCAAACAACATGAAGAAGAGTCAGTCACCTATGTGAAGAAAGGCCTCCAGGCAGAGTGGAGAGCCAGTGCAAAGGTCCTGAGGCAGGAGTGTGCCTGCTGTTGGAAGAACAGCAAGGATAGGGTTGTTGGCACAAATGAGGGGGCCTCAAGGTAGAAGTGGGGTGGGTAGGTCTCAAAGGACTAAGGGCACAGAGATGCTGAGTTTCAGCACAAGTGCGATGATAGAAGCCCATTAAAGGGCTTTGAATCAGGGAGGGGAGGAGCTGATTTATGTTGTCAAGGTGCCCTCTGGTTGCTGTGCAGACTGAAGGGGATTCAGGGAGACCAGTGAGGCAATAACCACTGAGAGGGGAGGGCTCCCTCAGGTGGCTGCAACGAGGTGGTGAGAGGAGGCCAGGCGCTGGGCATGTTCTGAAGGCAGGCCTTGATGGAGTGGCTATGGCGTGAGTGAGGAAGTAGGATCGAGGATGCTTGCACAGTCTGGGGCCTGTCCAAAAGAAGGGTGGGGGTCACCATTGACTGAGACAGGAAGGCCACTGGTGGAGAGTATCTGGGGAAAGATCTGAGTGTGAGGTGTCTACTGGACATGTCAGGGGGGTGGAGAGTAAAAAGCTGGATATCAGGGCCTGGGGGCTGGGAGAGCTGTCTGGGCTGCAGGTAGCAATGTGGGAGTCGGAACAAACTGGATGACATCATTAAAGTGCGTGGGGCAGAGAGAAGGGTCCTGGCGCACCTCCACGTTATTTCCTTGGAGGAAAGAGAAGGGGCCACTAATGAGCAGGAAGGAAACTAAGAGGCGTGGAGGCCTGGAGTCCAGTGCTGACCAGTGCTGACCAGGGTGGAGGCTGCGTCTGGGTCCAGCAAGCCTAGCACCCAGCCTGAACTGCCCACCCCGCCCGACCTTGATGTAGAGTGGGGTGGACTTCAGGACAAACTCAGCAAGGTGAAAACTGAGCAGCTTAGGGGAATGGCCATGAATATGCCAAAAAACAGCACAGGGACTCTCACTCAATCACACAATTCCGTGAAGCGAGCACCGTCCATGCCTACAGAGGAGGGAACTGAAACACAGATGGAGACAGACTCAGAATCCCAGGGGCAAGCCTGATTTCAGAGCCAGGTCACCAACCACTTTTGACACAGTCCTCAAAATCTACATGAGGAAGCCAGTGGAGCACATATCATTCAGCTCAAGGACACAGGAAGACAAAGGGTCAGGAGGAACCTCCCAGAAGCAGAAAGATACAGGGCCAAGGTAGGGCACACATGGCTCTGGAGGGAGCACTGGGAAACCAAGCTCTGTGCCCACCTCTGTCACTCCAAGCCAGGTGACCCCGGCTAGCCAGATGCCTGCGCTAAGCTGGGGTGTCCTCACTAATAGGGGTAATAATGCTCCTCCCTACCCAACTGGGAGATGAAGGGCACCCAGAAAAAGTTGACAGTACCCTGAGTCCTGAAAGGTGTTTTATTTATCTCAAGAATTCTCTCCTTTCTTCTGCAACCCTTGCTGTCAACACTAAGAATCCTCTGTCTGGCAAGACATTTTTCCAACTATGGAACAACGGAAATTCCTGGCTCAGGCTGAGGCTCAGGGCTGCAGTGGGGATGGAGGACAGCTGGTCTCTTCCTGGGGAATGTCCTGGAAGCCAGACGTATCCGGCCAGGAGGTGCCTGTTCATAGGGGACAACTGGCCCCGAGCAGCTTTGGGCCTTGCGTCTGACGGTGACAGCAGGCCAGCACCCCGACCTCTGGCCGATCCAGTCCACACGCTTCCTGCTGCTGTCCACCAAACACCACCATACCCAGAAAAAGAGGCCCCTGTATCCAGACATTTGCTTTAAAGCCACAGCAGAAACCTGCACGTGATCGTCACGACTCTCTAGCAGACAGGCCCCATTTTGCGCTCTGGATTCTTTCCATTTTTTAATAAATTGAATGCATTATTTGCTAAACAGAGCACTTAAAAGTTAAGCTAAGTACTTTGCAGTATCTTCTCACTTAATCCTCATAAGCCCCTATAAGAGGCAGGGAGGGGGAGGGGAGGCATTGCTCTTATCCCCATTTCCAAGCAGGAACCAGGTCACCGCGAGGGCAAGCCACCCAACCAGGGCCTCACAGCCAGTAAGTGGCAAGATTTGAACCCAGGACTTCCCGACCCCAGTCCACACACTCCATCACTGCATTACACATTCCAGAGAGACGCACTGTAGCCCAGAATATCAACTGCACACCAGGTGCCTGGCACACAGGAGGCACCTGAGGAAAGCAGCACAAGAAGAGACTTGGTTTTGGGATGGCCTCTCCCTCTGTGCCACCCAGAGCACATCAGAGACTGTCACGAAGGTGCAAGGAGCAGAATGGAGGGGTGTGGAGTGCCAGCCCCTCCCCATCGCCCAGGGCCACTTCCTCCCCCTCTCTCATCAGCGCTGGTGGCAGAGGGACAGCTCGGCCTGCCATGTGTGCTGCTGTCAGAACATGAGCCACCAGCCAAGGTGAGGCAGCTCACAGCTACTGCCAATCTTTCAAAAAGACTGAAGGAAACCATCATCTTCTTCCCTACCCAAAGGTCATAGTCTAGCCAGCCCACAGGGGGCTCACAGAGTCAACCTTCACCCACGGCTCTCTCACCCAATGCCATCCCCCAGCAGCCAGCGGGACCCTTGTACCTAAAGTCAAATGGTGTCTCTCCCTCCTTCAAGCCCTCAGGGCGCCCCCTGGCAAGCAGGGCAGAGCCCAAGTCCTAGTTTGAGTTGCGAGACCCACATGACCCAGGTGACCTGAGGCTGGCTGCAGAAAGAGCCAGCGCGGCTGCCTGCTCTCCCCTGGAAGGCCCGCTTCACTCAGCCCCCCGCCTCTGGGAACCTGGATCTGGGGTGGGCCCCACCACTAAACACTAAGAGGCCCACTCTGTCTGACCTGTTCATGCAAACCTGGCTCGTGGAAGGCCGGCCTGCCTCCCTCCCGGAGCTTGAACCTGACACGTGCCAGACAGAGGCTGCCTGCGTGACCAGCCCTGTAATAGCCCCGAGCCCTGAGGCTCTGACATGCTCCCCTGGTGGACAGCATGCCATATGTGTCACAACTCACTGTGCCTCCCATGTAACCCCATCAGGAGAGGATTCTGGAAGCTCATGCCTGATGTCTACCCATATACCTTTTCCCTTTGCTGACTTGTCTCTGTGTCCTTTTGCTGTAACAAATCTTACTGGTGAGCAGGACCCTATGCTGAGTCCTCTGTGTCCTCTTAGTGAGCCGTCCAACCTCTCAGACCTTGTCCCCTCCCTATCCCCTTGCCCTTGCCCCTGCCCCTGTGTTTTCCCAGCACACGCCAACCCAGCTCACATCTTGGGTCTTTGTCTTCTCTCTCTTGGAGTCACTCACCTCCCTTGGTCTCCTGCTCACAGAGCCCATCCACGTCCTCCCTGTATGGGAGAACACTCCTCTAGGTCCCATAGTTTTATTTTCCTCTGAAGCCCTAGCACCACCTGCCCCAGGCACACGTTTGCCCTCTGCCTCCCACCTCCCTGACTAGAACGTGAGGGTGGGGCTCTGGGTACTTCCTTCACTGCAGCACAAGCGCTGACACTGTGGAGGTGCCCAGGGAATGCCAGGGCGATGCCTGGGTGAGCAATGCTTCCAGCTTCCAGCTCAGGGCTGACCGCATCTCTCCTCTGCCTCTGAAGCACGGGCAGGGTCAAGTGGGGCAGGCAGCCTACACCCGGAGGAGAACGCACTCACCTCCAGGAGCTGTGCAGCGCTGGGCCGGGTGTCTGGGTTCTTGTCCAGGGCTGTCTTCAGGAAGTCTTTGAACTCCGTGGACCTGGAGGGCAGGTGACAGCAGTGAGCTCAGGGCAGGAGAGAGCCCAGAAACTCCCCAACTCACAGACTCCACTGTCCTGGGAGTCGATCTTCCCAAACACGCCCCTCACAGACAAAGGGCGCCTTCATGGGCCAGAGCAGTGGAGGCGAAGGGGCCTTGGCGATGACCTTCCCGTCGTGAACATCACTATACAGATGGAGTCGTGGGCCTCACGGGAGCAGGATCAGCTGGAGGTCACGCAGCAAAACATAGCAGAGCTGGGGTTTAACCCTGAACACCAATTCCCAGCCCAGGGTGGCCCCACATGTTTGCAGGTGCTTGCTATTCCCAGTGGGATCCGGTGGAGTTGACTTATCAGGTTGCTCTGATGGAAGCCCAAGCCGCGACCACAGAGGAAAAATGTGGCATGGGGGAGTCCATCCCCACAGAAAGGCCTGGAGGTCCCCCGACCTCTCCCCAGCTCTGGAGCCCAGCAGTGACAGAAGAGCTCTGGTACTCCACCTGCCCCCACCCCACCTGCGCCTGTCCCAGGCAGGCCTCCTGGCTCCTTACCACTTAGAAGGTGAGAGCAGTGTGGGTGGGTCCGACTTGGCGATCTTGAGCAGGACCCTCATGGGGTTGAGCTCATGGTGAGGGGGCTCAATCTGGGCCATCTCAATCAGCGTGATACCAAGGGACCAGATGTCGGCTTTGTAGTCATACGGGGTGTCCTTCATGGTCTCACACATCACCACCTCCGGGGCCATCCTGAACCAACCAAGGGACAACATAGGGCTGAGAACCTGGCCTCCACAGGCACTTCTCTGAGACTCAGGGTCAAGGACCACCACAAGCCAATGTCAGGGAGTTGGCTGCACTCCCAAGTTTTGATTTGCATTACTTTCCAGCCCACTGTCCTCCTTAGGATGGTCTTCTCACAGAGAGACGCCTTCTAAGCGGCTCCGCCACCAAGTCCTGCTGCAGTTCCCGAAGCCTACCACAAGGTGGCAGCAATAATCCAGAACCCAGAGTCCTGGGGAAGGGGTGGGTGGGGGGCACAGGGGAAGGGGCTGCCGTGAGAACACAACAGCAGAGGGATAAGGGGTGACAGAGAAAAGGAGAAGGAGGAATAAGAGGGGGGAGAGAGAGAAAGAGTGAGTAATAAGCAAGAAAAAAGAGTTTCCGCATGGGAAGCAGTACATATGACAATCAGTTCACTGTGAAACTGAATGTTGTTTTTCTTTAAAGTAATAGCTCTAGAAAAGAAGGAACGTGATGGCCTAGAGAAATCCAGGGAGACTTCATACCAGGGTAGGAAATGAACTTATAGTGTTCATCTTCACACCTCCCTAGCTGCAGCCCAGTGCTTGGCAGTCAAACCCTTCTTACTGAATCAATCGTGAATTAAACCATTTTTCAGGGGTTCGCTTAGTTGTAATGAATGGAATGGTTTCTATGTGCATCGTCCCATTTAATCCTCACAAAAACCCTGAGAAGGGCCTCCCTGGTGGCGCAGCGGTTGAGCGCTGGGTTGCGAAGCTGCCTGTAGCCTTTGCAGCACCGGTTCGATCCCCGGTCACCGGGTGAGGGTCCCACATGGCGCACAGACCTCTCCTGCCACCCGCTGCTCCCCTCAGCAGTATGTTTCGTCGGTCTGCCTGTTATGCTCCCTGCTCTGGTTCTGGTGAATTCTCTCACCCTCCCGTGCTTCTGACTGTACTTAGTGCTTGTATAAATAAATAAATAAATCTAAAAAAAACAAACAAAAAAAACCCTGAGAAGCAGTCGGTGCCATTATGTTCCCGATTTTACAGATATGGAAACTGAGGCACATAGCCGCTAAGCAACTTGGCTAAGGTCAGGGCACCAGTAAGTGGTGAACATGGGCTCAAACCCACAGGCTGACTCAGGAGCCCTGCCTCCAGTCCCGCCTCCTCTACACCAGCCACAGGTCACTGGGGGAGTCTGAAGTGGAACATTCAGTCCACTATTCCATTTCCAGAAGCTGCTCTACTCACCAATAAGGCGTTCCTATGAAGGAATCTCGTTTTTGCAGAGTTTTCAGATTCTTGGCGGACACACCAAAGTCAGCTGCAAGATAAAATCAGATAGAGTGCTTAGTGGACATTCCTCCACCCATGGCCCTGGGGGGAAGCTTGGCCTGTAGACTCAGGGATCTACCTTCCAAATGCACTAATAGATGCCATTTTTTTTTTAACAGCAAATTAGTGATCACTGCACATGTAATAAACATTTACTGCTGTAAGGATGTATTGCAACGTGTACTTTTCTACTTGCTAATGAGGATACAGTTGAACCTTGAACAAAACTGATTTGGACTGCAGGGGTCATTTGTCCTGGATTTTTTCTATCTGCAGCCTCGGCATTCAACCAACAGGGATTCTACCAACAAGGAATATCTGTGGGGCATCCACAGATACGGAACCTGGGAACAGGGAGGGTGGGCTGCAAGGGACTTGTGCATCCACAGGTTTTGGAATTCACAGAGCAACTAAAAGCAACCCTCTAAGCGGCGCTCAGAAGAGTCAAAGTTATACATGGATTTTCAAAGATGGGAGGGGTTTTGGTGCGTCTGACCCCCTTGTTGTTCAAGAGTCACCTGTACAAACCAGAAAGAGCCTTTTAGGAAAGCAGCTTGTCAATAAATAGCAAAACTCTTCAAATCTAGGTGTTTACCCTAGTAAAATAACCCTAAACACATATTTTAAATTATGTATAATGAAGTTTATCAAATTTCCACTATAATCATGACAGATTAAAAACAACCATAAAACATTGCTTCTCGGTCCTTTGGTTAAGGTCTAGCATAGTACCTGTTGTTAACAGTTTAAAAACAACTGTAATTGCTAAGCTTTCAAGTAGTGAATTTGAAACTGCTTATATACAATATACAATATATTCTCTTTTCCAAAAAGAATTTTAGAACATATGTCTCTCACACACACAGAGCAAGATAAACTAGGATAGTAAGGTAAAGGATGTTCTACTGCACAGAGCAAGAAGTGTGATACACGCCACAAGACAGACTACTTTATAGTCATTGACATCAGTTTGGAGGTATTATTTATTCAAGTTTAATAGTGAATTACATACAATAAGACATTAACATTAAATATTTAATATCTATTTAATGTTATGTAATTGTGTGTTTAGTAACTAATATCATGAAATATTTTTCTTAGGCAGTCATATTATAAAGTCAAGCAGGAAAAGGGGGATTTGCAGTTAATCACATGGTATAGTCAGAATTATGCCCCTCCCAGAAAATGGCAAAAACATATATTGAACAGACCTGGGGGAAAATACACCAGATTATTTATACACCAGATAATTTATTACAGGGTTGTCCATGAAGGGAGAGCCTAGATGAGGTTTCCTTTATTTTGCTGAATTCCAGGAGTTTGCTAGGATGAACATGTGTGATTTTCAGGACCAAATCCAACAAAAACTAAATAAATTTTACCTTTTTTTAAAAAAAGATTTATTTATTTATGCATACAAGAGCTGGGGTACAGGCCAGAGATGCAGGGGGTGAGAGGATTCACCAGAGACAGAGTGGGGAACAGAATAGACTGACTGAAATACACTGCTGAGGAGAGCAGTGGGCAAGAGAGGAGAGGTCCGCCTTGCCATTTGAGTAGCTCCCTGAATGGCTGGGGATACAACTCATGCTGCAGAGGCTGCGGATAGCTTCATAGTGCGGTGCTTAACCCCTTGTACCACCAGGGAGGCCCATAAATTTTATCTTTAAACACACACTCAACACTACTAGTCTTCCTCAACACACCCACTGCAAAGAAAAGATCCCCGTGCCACAGAGATTGTTCTCAGCACTGCTATCTACTGGGCCAAGTTTCATCCTGATGAGAAAATAAACTCAGAAGGGAGTCCTCTCCCCTCTCAGCTCCCCATCCCACCACTCCCCACTGTCCTGATAGTAACATGGACTTTTAGGAATATTCTTAATGACCAGCCTTCTATAGAACTGGATGTGGCCAATGGCCTCCCTGTTTAAAAGCACAGATGCAGGGGCCTCCCTGGTGGCGCAGCGGTTGAGCGCTGGGTTGCGAAGCTGCCTGCAGCCTCTGCAGCGCCAGTTCGATCCCCAGCTGCTCCCCGGCCACCGGAGGAGGGTCCCACATGGCGTGCAGACCTCTCCTGCTGCCCGCTGCTCCCCTCAGCAGTGTACTTCGGTCCTTCTGCCTGCTCTGCTCCCCGCTCTGGCTCTGGTGAATTCTCTCACCCTCCCGCGCTTCTGACTGTACCCAGTGCTTGTATAAATGAATAAATCTTTAAAAAATAATAACCACAAGGCCATGTTTTCTTATTAAAAAAAAAAAAAGGCACAGATGCAGGAGGAAGTGCCACCTTGAGAGAAGTGACAGGTTCGCCTTGCCTGCCTCACCCAGAAACTGCCAAGTCATCACAGCTGCTGCACTGGGGGGTGGGGGTGGGGTGCTCCACTGGGGCTGAGAATGAGCCCACAGGACCACAGTCAGTTCAGGAACCAGCTCATTTCTCTCTTCCTTCAGGCACCCCTGGGAGCCAGGCACTAGCTAGGAGCAGAGAATACCATGGGGACAAAAAGCAAACTAAGTCCTTGTCTTGGGCAGCTCCAAGTTTAGTGGTGCAAGCAAGGAAAATACCAGCACATGTCTATCCATTGCTGCCAAGAGATGGAAAGATGGGAGGGCAGGGCTAGGGGTCTGAAGTAAGGGGTGTGGACTCCTGAGAGCAGGGTAGGGAGGAGGGTGGGCAAGGAGGGGGAGGGAGGAGGAGGAGGGAAGTGGTTAGGGGAGAGGAGGGAGGGTCAGGAGGATGTAGGCTGAGCCCTAGTCACCTATTCAGCAGACAGTACCAGAACACCTGCTCTGTGCTGGCGCTGTTCTAGACCCAGAGGGGAATCAAAAATCCTTCCCCTGGCAGGGTGGGTCCTTCTAGTGGTGGTATTTAAACAGGCCCTCAACAAACACCATGTGATTCCAGAGACAGGAGAAGGGCTAGCAGAGTCAGGCAGGCAAAAGGCAGGAGGGTGCTGGCTGGGTGGTTATTTCAGACGGGGGGGGCGGGGGTGTCAAGAACTGGAAGATAGGGCCTCCCCGGTGGCGCAGCGGTTGAGCACTGGGCTGCGAAGCTGCCCGCAGCCTCTGCAGCACCGGTTCGATCCCCGGCTGCTCCCCGGCCACCGGAGGAGGGTCCCGCATGGCGCGCAGACCTCTCCTGCCGCCCGCTGCTCCTCTCAGCGGTGTACCTCACCAGTCTGCCTGCTCTGCTCCCCGCTCTGGCTCTGGTGAATTCTCTCACCCTCCCATGCTTCTGACTACCCAGTGCTTGCATAAATAAATAAATTAAAAAAAAAAAAAAGAACTGGAAGATAATGGAGGGGAAGATATTTCCAGGCAGAGGAAACAAGCTGGCATAATGGTGGGGGGTGAGGGAGCAGACAAGGTCGGGGGACAGGCAGGGACCAGCTCACCAAACCTGACACAGGATAGTGATGCTATAGAAGTACTTTGTAGGGTTGTGTTAGGATGTAAGGTCACTTGGCATCAGCCCGGCTCGTGGTAACCATTCCATCATTTATTCTAGGGAGCCTGGGGGGCCAGCCGCCTGGCCATTTCTCAGCTGAGGCAAAGCAGAAGCTGTGCTGGCACCCAGTCAGTACTTACGGGACAGCAGCTGCTCCACTGGCCAGCAGCCCTGGGAGTAGGGGGGACAGTCTGATGGGTGGGGAGGTTCTGCCACCTCCCAGGGTGGGAGCAACAGGCTCAGGTGCAAACTAGCAGGAAACTCAAGTAAGAACCCAGCTCTGCAGCTGACCAACAGGGTGCTGTGGGCAGATCACCCACACTCTGGGCTCTTGGGTAATCTTGGGTAAGAATGGAGGCAGGCTTACCTCCGCCCTGCCGGGTCCCCTGGGGCCCCATGTAGGCTCGCTGCCCAGCTAACACCAATGACATCATCCCAGAACTGTCTGGTGAACAGTATCTGCTTCACACTAACAGAAGGCCCCACCCAGTGGGAGGCTGAAGCTGCTACTCATCCCTGCCCCCACCCCCCCAGGGGCCCTGCTAGCCCCTTCCAGAGAAGGGAGAGAAAAGCAGAAACCACCAACTTTCACAATGACACTGGTTGGTCCCCAGGGCCCTTCCAAAAGCAAGTCAAGTTTTGGGGGTAGCTGCTACTTCCCCTTCCATCTGTGGGGCCCTGCCACAAGGGTGGGGCGGCCCCTTTCCATAGCCTGGGAACTGGGGTTTTCCCTGGCCTTGGATATCCAAGCCTGTTTGCTCCCCAAGGAAGCTGATGATCAGTCGGTCCCTTGAGAGGCGGGTGGCTGGTTGATGGGGTCACTGCTATTCAAAAGGAGTTTTGAAGGCAGTCTCTTCTGATGAAGACTCCTTCCTTCATCCATTTGAAAACAAGAATCAGAGACAACTGTGGGTGGGCAGGCAGGGCCTCCCTGTCATTTCTACAAGGAAAGGGAACTTTTCTGCCTGTGCCCCTGGCACTGCCTCAGGCAAAAATCACTTAATAGTTAGAGAATGAGCAACCACAATGGTCAGACTTGGCTAGACTGTCTATTCACATAGGTTCAAAAACCAAAAACAAAAAAATCCCAGGCTTTCAGAAATATGGTTCTATTTCTAGAAATAGATTGATAATAGCTATGTGCCACACAAGAACATTTCAGTCAGTAATGGAATGCATACAGGATGGTGGTTCCAACAGGCTGTGCCATCCAGCCTCCATGTGCGGGAGGCTGCCCCACCTGCTTTGTGTAGTTATTATACTCCATGACACTGGCACAAGGACAGAATCACCCAAGGATGCATGATCCAGAGCTTGTCCCTCATCAAGCCATCATGACTGGACACATGGATGCTTAGCAAAGCATTATTCCAAAGAGTGAAAAATTAGACAAGCTAAATAGTTGCTCGAGCTCGGCTGGTGAATGGTTAAATTACGGCTAACCCTGGCCATGAAATAATATGCAGCCCTTAACAAGGATGCGGTTGCATTTGTTAGGTATGAACTTGGAAGTCTGTCCAGAGTACAGTGTCCAGAACATG